GGATAAGTTAAGCTCTTCCTGGGTGGCTTACATTCCTTGCAAAGATTGCAAAGTCCGACGGATGTTTATTTAAACGGATTCTCCTGAAAAAAAATTTAACAGAATTGCTAAGTTTGGTGTAATTAAGGAGGCTAAAGCTTGTTTTTGTGTACCAAAGAAAAAAAGGAAACGCGGGACGACCTTTAAGAGGAATTCATCCTTAGCTTGAGGGATCTAGGGAAGGCTTTCTACTCTGCGCTTAAGAAAAGCAACCGTTGGAGTTTAGAGAGCTTCTTTAAAAGTTCTTGTTTGGGCCTAGGAGCGACAAATAGGGCGACATTTAACAAAAGTAATCGCTAAATTTTTCTATTTACCGTTTTGTTTAGTTTTTCGTGTTCAACGATAACGAGAGCCTTTTGTTTGGTAGAAAAAAAACCTTTCCTTTCTGCCTTTGCACGTTGTGTTCACGTGGAAAAGCGTGGTTACTAAGTAGATCAAATTTCACCAGAGTATTTCCCGTCAACGCACCCACATTTTGCGTCTGTGAAGTAGTATTTGCCTTCTAAACTCCGTTTTTCTTTTTCAAGAAGTTGGAAGACTTGGTTGGCATCGCAAACGACCCGATCTCCCGAGAAAATTTTTCGCTTTTAATACACTTATGGGTCAAATTGCGAAGTGTTTGTACATTTCAAGAAGTTTGTATCATACAAGCCCTGTCTCGAGACCATGGCAGCAGAACTGGAGGACAGTATTTCAACGATTTTTCAGGGTAAGATCTTCCTCTGGAGATCATGCTAGTTTTTGATACGATTTTTGAACTACAGGGTACTCTTTTTTTTGATTTTCCCTTTCGTCTGCTTTGTTTATTACGCTCCTAAATGGTTATGTAAGGTTTTCCAGAACGTTAATTGATTTCGTCATACGTTATGATATTCTGCGTATATGTTGCCGGTAGATTCATATTTGTGCGCATAAACCTCACTGCAGAAGATAATTCTGACACAAAAATGATAAAGTAAGTCCTAAATTTGGCAAGATTTATACCGAAAGAGAGAGTGAATGAGGTAAATGGTGGTTCAAACAGACTTTTTTCAGTTCTTTTAACCTCGTGTGTTTCGTCACATGTTTGGCTCATTGCGTTACGCAACATACAATTGAGTTCAGAACTCTTGAAAGTGCCGTATTGTAGCTTCTGTTTACTTGATCTAAGTTGAATTATTTCTTTTAAAGTTCTGATATTGCCGAAAGAAAAATTCCATTCGAAATTTCAGCACCATTACAGCACTTTACAGCACTTTGACTCGTAGTTGATTGCGTGCAGATGTTAGCTTAGCAAGCCCCGCTATCCTTTCTTCTAACATCTCTACCACTTGTGTTACCTTCTTTGAGCCAAGTTTGTATTTTTTTTGTCATTGTCTGTGTTCTATAGTTTTTCCATTTCTCTTGTAATCGTCATTTTGTTTGAAATTGTTTGTGGAAGCACTGAGCATGAAAACAGTGTTCAGAACTGCAGTTAGTGTGGCTTAGACAAAACTGTATGGGGGAGTCTAGCTCAATTTTAAAAAGATTTTAGGAAAAGAAAACAAATTTGCCAGTTTCCAGAGTGACTTACTGCTAAGAAATTGACTTTTACAATGACATGCAAGCTGCACTTTTTTCCACAATTTTTGCAACAAATCAGGCATGCAGCTTAGCTGCAAGGACTTTAATGAAAAAAAATATGTTGTAAATTTGCATAAACTAAAAGCTAACTAAAGAGGACTTCATTAAAAGATGCAACGATAGGAATTGATCATTGCTTTTGCAAGTTTGGTGACTTCTATAATAGTGTAAGCTTATATTTCATGCTGTTGAGTGGTTACACCTTTAATTAATAGCGACTTTTTTTAATCAGTATTAAGAGCAGCACATCTGCTAGCGAAACTTATTTAGCTACAAAATTTAACATAATTTAATCCTTACTTTCTATGTTTGCAGTCTGGAGAAAAGCCTGTCATATTTAACTTCACAGACAAGGGACCATCAGATTGTTATTTACACAGAGGAGCTTATGGACTCTACCTAGTTGGAAGTTTTATCTCTTTTTATGGAGTATACCTGATGATAAATTGTAAGACAAAGAAAACCTCACAGTGAATTCTTCATGGGGACTTTAATAATTTTCTACTGCAATTCTACTCATGTGTGGACACTCGATAGACATTTATTCAAGTGGACTGTCATGTTGGAAACTTCAGCTTGGAATTGTCTCATCTTGTAAAAGAATTGGTCAAGTTGACTTTGAACATGTTAAGACTATTTCAAGTCACTTGGAAAGTCATGCAGTCATTTCCCAGAACAATGTGTTTTATCTTCTTGGTTTGAATGTTTGGCAAACATGATGATAATGCAGAGACTTGAACACCAACTGAAACAAAATCAGTGAAGTTACAAAAAATACTCCACTGAGTGTCTTTTCTGGGTTGTAAAACCATCATGTGACGCAACATTTATTTAAGAAATTCTATCTCTATGTGAAGAGATTGTGGGTGAAGTAAATTTAAAGTGAGCATTCTTCTTGGCCACGCAATTCTAACTTTAGACCGACAGAAGAATTTACAACTGGCTTTTGAGAGCATTTTTTTTTAGAATAGAGTTATTATCATGTTGGAAGAAACATTGCTTGTGTATTGTCACAGCACTCCTTTGCAATTGATTTAAACATTGACCTTTAAATAAATACAGGAAGCAACCTATTTTTTTCACAGGTTAAATAGGAGCTAAACTATTTGTGGAAGGAGAGGTCAAGATTTATTATTTATGAGATGTAACATAGAAACAGTAATGTATATCATTGTTAAAGTGACATTTGATCGTAATATTGCAAATCAAACCTTTGTGTTCGTGTGTTAAATATTATTTCATCGTTATCATTTGGTGGGGAGAAGATGGAAGTCTCTTCCTCCACCAACAAACAGTCTTTTCCAGAACAACAAATCTTAGGGAGTGACCAAGTCAGAATTGGGTTCAGTTTTACTTAAGGAGAATGTTGCAGGTTATCAAGACTAATGACCAAAACAATTCTGTAGCAAATTCACTGGTTATGGCCTTGATCTCAAAATTACCAAAGGAGAGCCTTAGATTTCTAAAATACAATACACATGTGACGATAGTTGCTAGATTAATTCAACTTATGAGCTGTGTACAGCACACACTTGCTTGAGCATATAGTGCAACTGCTCCTTGAATGGAATGACAATTCATGTCAGTGTTATCATGTACTTAGTATGGTTTCCCTGATGACTAGCTGTTGTTTTTGGAAGGGAAAAGCTCTAAACAGTCTACAGTGTCTTCTACAAGTACACAATGACCTTACTAGGATTGAAACTGAACCCTCTATCCAGGAATCAAATCCTCTATTGAGTCTCTGCCACGCCACTACATTACCCCAAAAGTGAAAATATTCTACTGTTGGCACCCTGTAGAGGGGAGTTTATGAGCATTACTTAATATACCATTATTCCATTGCAAGTGAACTTTATTTTTCTTGAAGTTGGGAGATTTTTGTTTATTAATTTATGCAATGCATAATGTGAAAAAAATAATTTACATTTTACACATGGTAATAATAACAATACATAACCAATTAAATAGTGATAGATACTTTCTCCAAATACTTTCCATTAATTTATTTATAAATTTCATAACAAAAATACCAGTTAAAAAATTAATTTAAATCATATGTCTAGGACTTAATTCATGGGTGAAATTCACTTTCCTGAAATATTTTTTTCTCCTCTGTTTTAAAAAATATGTGGCAGGATTAAGATTGTCTGTTTCAATACTTTATTAAGTTACAAAGATTCAGGGTTCGCAACATTTAACCATACAAGTTGCTCTTATGCAGCCCAATGTCTGTTGTAATGCATTTGTTTCTCCACTGAGCTCACTAAGCTTCTTTCCAACACTGTAACAGCTTGTAAAGGAAAATGGAGCTGTGACCCAGTAGAGCTTATGTTATGCTAAGTAAAAGCCTGAGTGTTCTTCCACTGAAACAGCATGTTGACTGTCTGGTGAGGCAACATGACAGGTCTTGTAGAATGAAGACTGAAGGAACAGCTCATTTTTCTGTGCCCACCAACATTCTCAAAGAGAGGCATATAGGATCTCTTACATCATTTATAAAAAGTAATCAATATAATGGATAGATCTTATGCGCTGGACTTCCATCCTTTTTAATTTAATGACGGCACATGTTTTCCCTCCCACTCGAGCCATACTCCTGGCCACTTTGTCTTCAGACAAGAAACAATCTGTTGTTCTGCTATGCGACTGAAGTCTGATGGCTCAATGGAGGCTAGTCCTTCTGTATACATAACCTTTGAGGAAAAGTGTTCAATCAGTTTATCAAATGAACAATTTATAATGTTGAATTACTAAGAGAAGATCCCTCATCATATCGTCTTCCCTACTCAAAACCACATGACCATGATTTGGAACACATAGCTTTATGTTAAAGGATTTTGTTTTCATATCAAGAATTATTTTATTAGGTGTTTAGAGACTAACTGAAATACTAGGAGGGCCCTCGTTGGTCAAAGACTTATCATTTACTGCACCAGTAAATCCACCAGGAAAACAGGTGTAATGTTGGGAAAACATGAATAAACAGGTTAATTTAGTGTTATCGACTGAATTGAAAACGTAAATTGGCCAATATAAAGAGTTTAAAGCTGACATTTTGGGAATTAGCCCTTTGTCAGAACGATAGGAATGAACATGAAAAAAGTTTGTAAGTAGGTCAGGGCAAGTGATTTAAAAACTCTTGTGTTCTCCCAACATCCTAAGTGGGTCTTTACTGCGTTAAACCAAAAGAAAGTGCACTTTGTTGCTTTTACCAAACAAACTTCAATTTTCTAAGGGTTGCAAATATTACAATCATAAGCACCTCATGCTTTTGAACTAAATTATTTAAAAATGCCAGAATACAGCATCTGAAGCCAGCTTGTTTGTCTTTTTTACTGTCATCACATTCAAGGTTTATACAAAGTTCAATAACCACTACCTTTTTGGTGCCGTCTTCCTCTCTTAATCCAAGTCCATTGTAATGAAAAGCTTTAAATGGCTTAACATCATCTGCTAGCATATCCTGCAGGCAGATGTAACACAAACAATATTCTAAAACAATAGATTTATGAATTCAAAGTTTCACCTTAATAGCTCTGAACATTGGACTTAGATGTGGCAGAAGAGTCCAGAAGTTTTTCAATGTATATTTGAAATCCTTGAAAGGACCATGCATCATGCATCATTCACCATGCATCAAGCATCACACATCATTCATCTCACATCAAGCAACATGGATCATGATTCTTGTGGGTTAAACATTAATTAACCATTTTAAGGCACCATATACCTCTCCAGGGAAAAACTCTGTCAGGAAATTATGCAGAAGAATGATCCCAACAGAATCTTGGTCTAAGCGTTCTTTCATGAAGGATACACTTGGAAAATAGAACCACATGATTAGTAAATAAAAAAAACAACTTGCTGTTTAAAAAGATGATAAAGTGATCATTTTTTTGAACTGATTGTCAAGTTTTATCCCATATAGGGAGCGAGGATATTACTGTTAGAAAATGCTTTTTAAAAGTAATCACTGACAACGGCAAATCAGAGGAAATGAAACTAAATGAATGAGGCAATGAGAAACCATAGTAAAAAACTGAGAAATAAAGAAATACTTAATATATTGCACACACACATGATTGACCAGGTCCTGAATGGTTTAAGTTCTGAATCTGATTGCTTGAGAAAGCTGCTAAACCAATCACATCACAAAGTAATGCAAAACTAATTAAAAGCAATCCACACATAATCTGTTGAAAATTGCTCAAAAAATCAAATGGCAGAGGTAGAAATTATGATACAATAAGAGGTAACTTACTATTCAGGATCAGAAACAAGATCAAGATCCTCTAAGACACTTCCAAGTTGATCACTCGTAATAAAACCATTGTCTATTCAAGAGAAAGCAAATAAAAAAATTTTAGAACCAAGGATTACCAAGGAGTAATACATATAAATCTTCAAATTAAAAAGAGGTTTAAATAGTCTGTTGAACATATTAATACCTTGCTGGTCGTGAGATTTAAAAACTCTCAAGCCTCTTTCTCTATCACTTTCTGAGCCAGTTAGACTTCGTTCCTAAAATGATAAGACAAAAAGTCTGTGGGAAAAATTCCTTAACATGCAGAACTTTGCAACATCTATGGGGTAGCATGAAAGATTAATATGTTTACCTAATGAGCAGATATTATGACTATAATACCTTATGTAAATGATCCCTAAAAGTATAGAGGATCCCCCAAAAAACATCAACAAGATTTTCCACCTCAGGAATAATAAAAAACAAGGGAAATGTGGGAGTCTGCACTTCACAAAATTGACTGTGGATCAAGTGTTCTGGGTGCCAACTCTAGCAGGGACCCAGTGTTTTCCTTTTCAGGCCAAAACAAGTAAAATTTACCCCCTGTAGTACCTCATATTATTGCCCAAAATCGCTTGGAATTCTTGAAAATTCAACAAGTAAAAAGATTTCTCTACTGGTTTGAAAATTTATTTTACCTGCTATGCCTAACATGAGGGAGAACACTGAGGACATTGTTTCATGTTCTTTGGTAACACACTTCACTTAATTAATGCAGTAACGTGTCTCTCTCTCCTTCCATGAGTATAAATGAGTGGCAGTGAACTGTCAAAGATTGCTGACCTAATGGTGTGGTTACCCTAGGATGAAATGGTATCCTATCTACAAAGTATGGCAATAGAATACTTCTTATTGCCTTCTGCTTGTAAAGTCAGGAATCTTAATAGTAGTAAGAAACTCTGACAAACAAGTAAAGAAATGTCTATTTGAATAACTAACCTGGGAGAAGAAGACTGTAAGGTGAGTTTCACTTGCAAGAAGCCATACTGGATACATGGGAGATTTCAAAAAGTTCCCAACCTATTATATGTATTTTTAGAAAATAATAAATATAGACCACAGTAAAGGTTGTGTTATTTTGGAATTTGATTTTCAGAGTTCAAATAAATGTGTTATGATCTATAAATGCATTAATTAGTTTCTGCACTTGTATTTTCAGCATGCATGTTTATCTGAAATTATGGACATAGAAAAATATTTTTAGAAATGGCTTTAACACTTTACATTATAACATCAGTATGTATATTCTCCGTACTGTTCTCTACATATTTCCTAAGATGCTGATAAGGAGAATTTGTGTAAGGAGAAATTAGATACTTTAAGGGGTCAAAGATTTAAATAAGAACAAAGTGGCACAGAAAATTAGCTAAACAATGCCAGATGAAAAACTTGCCTCACAGTATCGATGAGCTTCTAAAAGTGTTAAAAATCCTATTGAAGACTGTTTAGGAACACCTCTTAATTCTACAGAAATAAATGCAATGTTGGAACAACTTTTCCACCATGTCATATCTATTTGCCCTTCTAATTTCAAGATCTAACTATGAATTCTTTGCACTGTCTACCAGAGTCTTTTTTTTCATTTGGTGCTCAATCAACCATTATCCACTTGTTAATATTTTACTTTTTCTTTTTTTGATTTCTCATCACCTCTCTGCCTTAAAAGGTATTGATAATCGTAAGGAGAAATTTCTTCTTGGTCGCCAAAAGGAGCAAAAGGGGTTTGGAACCAACTTAGTGTTAAAAAAAATTTTTGTCAGCCTCCCCCCCCCCCCTTGGAATTTCTAATGATGTTCCAAGGGGATGGGTTGGTTATTTTCAGAAACAAAAACTCATGGCAAAAACTCATGGCAAAAATTAGCTAAACTCCTAAACTGTAATTCTTGAAAGAATTCTTGATTTTACAACTTACCCAGGCCTGAAAGTGTTCTTGAAGAGTCCCAGACATTTGATACGCTATATCCAGTCAGCATAAGGTTGATGAGGGTTTGACTAAAGAAAGAATTAGGAAAGTTAATTTTAAATTCTTTAACACAGAAAAATATACTGTGAAATAAACTCTTTGCTAGAAGCCTTTGAGTTAGATACCTATTCTGATACAAAAGTGAAAAGTAGAAAAAAAGTGAAAAGTAGAAAAAAAATGAAACTTGTTTCTATACATGTATTTTGATAATGAAAAAACTTTTAAATATATTATTTTCTTTCCAAAAATTTCAGCTCAAAACTGGATCAAGAGCAGGGAGGTTTGCAAAGCAAAAATGCTGGAAAAACTGTGTTTGTAGTCTTTGTACTCTTGAATAGTTTCTACTGACAGTGCAACAAGACAGGATACAAACCTTCCATGCCCAAAACTCTCATCCAGCAGCGGTTCACCCACATCTTCCATTTCAGACCTGATACTTTCTAAACCCTATGCGTAAAACAAATCTTTTTCACCCGCAACATTTAAACTTTTATATTGATTCTACTTTTCAAGACTCTATATCATTCAAAACCTGGCTGTAAACTTATCAAAAAAAAAATCCTTAAGAGATCAATCATGCATAGATAAAAATAATTTAGAAGCAGATTAAGAATTGTACAGTGAAATACTGTTGTACAGAAAACTGTTGTCCTCTATCTGATACTTTGTTTCATTCTCATCACTTATCTACATGATGTTGTATTGATTTTCTAATGAAAAATTTTGTCTTGGATGAGTAAAAATATATCTAGGATTTAAGTAAGGTCAAGACAAGCTCATGAACATGTAGCTGTAAGTTAAAGTTACAGTGACTATCAATACCTTTGTTAATAACACTGAATAAAGAAATAGCAGCACACCAAAGCGACCTTCTAACATGGCTATGTTTTTGTTTATAACTTGAGTGACATCTTCTAAAGCATGACATTGAACCTGACTGTAAGAAAAAAGAAACAATATGAATTTATACAAGAATGTCTTGATTACTGATCCTTCTTTCACTGCATGACCAGAAAGGATTCAACCCCATTAGTCATATGGTTTTTCATGGAAATGAGATCCATTCAGGATCCCACAGAAAAAGGTACAAGATCTCTATCTACACCATTTGGGCTTGAATTACATTAACTATATTATTCAAACTCTTTCCTAAGAAACATACCATAGTTTTGAATGAAAATTATCACTAGATAATGAAGTAAGCTCTGGAGCACACACTGATTTGTGGTAATCAGGGGAACTGGAATCTGAAAAAAGAAAATAAAACCTTGACAACAACTTAACAGATAGATTCCATGGTGCCAATTGCATCTGTTCAGTAACAGATCACAGATGACATCAAAATGAGGTAAGAACAAAAAAGTAGCAAACCAGGCACAGCAGAATGTGTCACTGATATTTTCATCAGATTTTGACATCTTCTGCAATCTTCTATTGAAAAGACCCACGACAACATATATGATACATTAAATAAATATATCATAGGAGAGTAAAAATTTTCTGATTGTGACATCATCTACGCGTCTTTCCTCAAATAGATCATAAGTTAGAACAACTCAAAATGTGGGGATAATTCAACTTATAATATAAATAAAATTAACAGCATATAGTTAACAATGATTCAAGAGAAAGGATTTCTGAGACTATAACTTGTGATACACAAATTCAAATGTTCCCATAGTCACTACAATCACTACAAGATTTGAAAAAGTTGTCAGCCATCGTGGGCTAAAACGAAGGAGTACCTGGACTGTTGGATGATGCACACTCCTCACTTTCTGTGTCTGTTCTTTCAGCTGTCATACATGATGTAAAGACCAGATGATCCCTGAGAAACACCAGGGTAAATTTCTCAGTTTTGACATTGTTAAGCATCTCACAAAGAGAGCAAACAAGCAACTGTCTAGCTTGCTCATCTGTTGAATTTAATAGAACCATGTAGCAGGTTATGCTGTTTAGCGGTAATCTTATATGCTCTTTTTTTTTAGGGGTGATACTTAATTCTTGAGTTTGACTTCTGAAAATATTCATTCTCTCCCATAATTCTAATAAAAATGTCAAGCAAAAAGCTAACAAGAATTGAAGAAATAGTCATCTACAAATACAGTTTTGAATATGGCACCAAATCACTAAAATTTTGTCAACAATGATATCACTGCTATAGTTTTGTCCCAGAGGATCAGTAGTGTCTTTAACTTTTATTTCCAATTTCTAGGAGGCTAGATGTATTTTTACTTCTTAAATCCAATGGTCCTTGGAGGTTGAAGTGTTCGAGAAAGAAAAAGCCTAAGTACAATCATGATTACTGTTTTCTTTACAAGAAACTTGCCAGTTATTTAATTTATAAAACAAAGAAAACTAACCTGCAACTTGTCTCCAGTTATCAGGAGCTGGTGTTTCCTCTACAAAAAGGATATTCTTTAGAATAAAAGCCTGAAAATTAAACAAAGAAATAAGACCCCTTATTATATCAAATAAAGGGCTTACTTGCTTCACAGACAAATTGCCAAGAAAGCTACCTAGAGATTAAATATTTCTTAAAAGAAGAAACAAGTGATAAAGAGCATCTTTTTCTTGTACCTCTATGTGTAAAAAAATGTATCAATGGAATAACTTTAATGGAACATATATTTTCAAAAATCCTAGCTGTTAGGAGGCAAAACAAGTCAAGCTTGTGCTAGAGACCACTTGAGAAAAGTCAGCGTAAAACCTCTAAACCTGGGTCTGGTGGATAGTCAGTATTATTTTCACCTGGACAGATGCTATGATAGCACATGGTCCTCCATGTTCCTGAATAAGAGCACTTGGTTCCACTGTTGAAAAGACAAAACCTGCAAGAAATACAGCACAAGTAGTGAAGACCATGTCATGTTCACTAATTTCACACACATCCTCATTATCTCATTTATTTCAATTTTTTATGACAGGATGGGCTCCTTGGTGTTTTTCAGTCTTTGACCTATATGGACATATGGGTCTTGGTGTCCATGCTTTAAACCCTAATATCAGTATGCAAGTTCTCCATATATATACTATTCCCTATACATTTCCTATGGTGCTTACGGGGAGAATTTGTTCAACAATCAAGGGCTTCTTGAGTTTGGAATAATTGACTACATGTGTATTTTCATGGCTTTAATATTTGGCTGAGGAGTAATACTGTTGGGAGAAATTAGATACTTATCACTCTTAGGGGTCAAAGGCTTTAGGCACCCAACAAAAGATTCACCTTTAGATTAACCACTAAAATGAGAGGTAAATGTGATCAAGATTGTGTAATTTTGACCACTGATAATTCTGTTAGTAAAGTGGCAGCACCTGTGGGGAATCCTAGAGTTTGACTCAAATTGTGGGAACTGAACTGAGGGTTCTCACACAATTATGCACTGCATTCAAATTGGCATAGCTTCAATGCAGCCATATTATGAATAGAAGCGTATCATGTCGTAGGAAAGAGGTCAGATTGCAAGGCAATACTCAAATAAGTGTAGGGCATTTATGGTCAATTATTTAGCACATTTGAAGATAATTTTCGGAAGGTTAGGTTACTCTTTTGAATCTCAAAATGTGATAGGTTTACGTAGTGAAATTTCATATATAATTCTCAGTAGCAGAGATTAAAACTGAGTAATTTATCATCCTTCCCCTTTGATTTTTCAGTTATGTTTTGGCGATTTCTCAAAAATAGAACTACAAAATTTTGATACAAATCTTCACTTTTGGTTTCTCCAGTCAGAAATTGTTTGAACCTGATATTATAAATTATACTACAAAAAGTATTTGAGAAGAAAACCAAAATTATCAAACGTAGGAGTTTCGATCCAAAGGTTACGTCGTGCTCTAAATGCCACTGAAGGGGTAAAGTGAAAATTGAAAAGGTACCATACATTTCACTAAAGGGATCAATTACTTATACCCAACAAATCTTTGGAAACAATACCTTGAGACCACCTTTCGAATATCTCCTCTTTCACGTTTGTTCCCCAGACAAGATTTAAAACCTCGTCGAAATTTTCAGACGACATAACCCGGCAAACGTCCTCGTCGTCCGCCATATTTGAAATAACCTACAATGCAATGCGAACCGTTAAATTTATATACAGGCCAGCGGTGCTGTATTAGACCGCCATCTTGGTCCTCTTGTGAGTGTGTGCGTGTTCTTTGCAGAAATGGCTACCGGAGTGAAAGACATACAATTCAAAGACCTGGAGGTCGAAGAAGTAGAAGTAACTTCCGCCGTTTTGATGGGAGGTGCGCATCATCTTGGGCAGTACTGTGACAAGGACTTCAAGACCTTCATGGGTTGCCGATATGGCCACAAAGACCCACGTAAGTGCTTGGACGAAGGAAAGCAAGCAACGAAATGTGCCCTAGATTACTTTAAGAAGCTCAAGGAGCATTGCAACGACGTCTTCACCAAACATTGGACTTGTCTTGACTACAATAACCAGGAATTTGGTTATTGCCGGGCGACGCAGAAGAAATTTGATGCCTGCGTCTTGGAAAAGCTTGGATTGGAATGTACACAACCTGTTCATCTTGAACTTTACGATTGATTCGGTTTGTTTTTAATGAACGGATATATACTCTGAAAGTTGATCAGCATGACACCCTTAAGTCTAAATTGCGATGGGCATGGAAAAAATTTGACTCGTGATGGATTTAAGAGTGTTTCTGTAATTACCAACAAGGCGTCTTGGCAAAATGTATAAAATGTACATTTAAGGATGCATCACTGTGGCTCTTAACTGTTTGCTGGAAATTTTTGGAAGTTTTGGTGAAGGAATAAAGTTTTGACGGACTGCCTTTCGAAAAATATGTTGCATCTCTGTAATTTAAATTTTTCCGGAAATTATGTGATCAGGGATTTTAATTGCCTTACGTGAGTAACCGAGATCGTTATTCTGGGTTAACAAAGGATAATCCTTCAAATATAACTTTTTCTTTTGCAAGAAAATAGTATACTCTCAAAATGATTGAATGTTCAGTGTCCCTAAAAGTGGCATGGTTTTTAATCTCAGTCAAGCAGACAAGGTACCATACTTTGAGCTTTCAACCCTTGTTTGACCCTTTTGCTCTCAGTATCTCATTTATTTATTAATTCTCCTTACTGTCTGCCATACAAATCCCTTGATGTCAGTTCAGAGAATTTGGTATTGGATCAACCAATATTCCCCAAATTGATATGTTTCTTTTTCTTATGGTATCATGTTGATATTGTATGGAGAAATTCTGTCTTGGTCACCCATGGGAGTTAAACATTGCCCTTAAACAGGACCATCAACCACTCATTTCTCTGCTGACATTTAGTCATCTTCCATCACACAGTGATTTTGCAGCCATTTTTGACAATAAATGGCCAGCAATCTACACCATTACAGAGTGGACAATCTTAGGTTCAGAAATTGTTAAGAAATGTGTAGAGTCCTTTCCATCTCAGTTGTCCACAGCCCATCTTGATCATGACAACCTTTTGCATTCATTGAGTTTTCTTCTGTCAGAGAGGAGGGAAAGAGACATGGAGAGAGTTGAGGTCAGAGTTATAAGGTATTGGCATGGGTGGGATTTCAAAGGTAAGGGAAATTTGACTTTTTGTGACATTAGGGTACAAAAATTGACGAAGGTACAAGGAGACAACAGAGAGGCAAGAGTGAGAGGTAGAATCTGGATTCTCCTTTACCTTGAGTTGTCACACTCACTTTTCACCATGTAAATAATTTTTATGAATATTTTTCATTCTGTTCTCTATACATTTCCTAAGGAGCTGACAAGGAATTTCTTTAATTGCTGATCACTTCCCTAATTCTTGTGACCTTAAAGTTGGATTTGGGGGTGAAATTGTGGAGAGAAATTGGATGCTAGTCAGTCGTAAGGGACAAAGAGTGAAAAAAGTTTGGGGACTGAGGATTTGATAAAAAAGAACTTCACTATTTTAATGATTATATATTATTTAAAACTTCCCTCTACAATAAATACAGAATAGTCAACTTTTCCGTCATTGTTATTTTTTTTTTACCTTCACTTTCCTGCAGCCTTCTGGAACTTGAATTGTATGGGGCAGCCAAGCCAACTGGAAAACCTTGGGTTAATTTACTAGCCAACATAAAAATCTTGATACCGGTAAATGATTTTGGATATTCCATAATATTGTAATCGGCCTGATAAGTTAACGGTGTCAGGACATAATATCTGAGACCGGGTCTGGCGGTTGTCGCAATTGCTTTTTCTCAGTTACCTTGAGATGATCGTCACGATAATTTTTGTTTTAAACCATCATTTCCTTTATCCGTGTAAATTGACTAGAATTCTGCTCACGAACTCTAGATTATTGTTTCCGTTGACGTCGAAATTGTTTTTCCTCTCGGTGCACATCTCCCGTGTATCCCCTCCCCCACCATCGATGGAATTGACAAAAAGCCAATAGGACAGCCCACTGCTATTACAGCGAGACTCGCATTTCAATCATAAACAAAAGAGTATGGCCGATAAGGTTCTGTCGGTGAGTCGGAGTTTTCTCTCAAAAAAAGATAAGGACTCCGTCACAGACTCCTGCTCCGTGTACAGAAGGAGATGGTACATCTTGATCGTATTCTCTTTGATCGCTGGAGTGCAGGCAGCGGCTTGGAACACGTGGGGTCCTATAGCGGGATCCGCTGAAGATGTTTTTGGCTGGAGCGATGGAACGATCGCGCTCCTCGAGAACTGGGGGCCGATCGCTTATATTGTGTCCTTCGCACTCTTTTCTTGGCTTTTGGACGTCAAAGGTGTGCGATTTTATTATTTTTCTCGTCATAAAATCATGCTTCGATGGTTGGATAAAACATGCTTTTGCACGCACCATTCAAATGCACACCTACGGCTCGTACACGTGTGTTTGTTTCGCATGGAGTGATTTTATGAATACAGCACCAGATGCATGAAAAGCGATCAGATTGTCTTATGCCTTCTTGTGTGTCATGTATTATTTAGACATTTTGGAGCTTATGTTGTTATTGTACGGTAATCCATTACGTCATACTCCGCCCGGATTAACAAGCAATTTGTAAAACAATAGGGAAAGGTTGATCTAATTAATACTGCGTTGTGGTTCGACTTCGGCGGAGACATGCCGTGATATTGGCTGAGAGAGAAATTGAAAGTAGACTTCAAGATTATTGGCAAAATTATGTTAAATTTAGTCTACTGTAAGGCACAAGTTGCTAATTGTGTAAATGATGTGGCAAAGGTTAGCAAAAAAGCTGCTGATGACAAACATTGTGTAATGCAATCTTTTGGTTGGGGGGAGGGGGGTTGTGTCTTTTCCCATCTGCATTTTTTGTTGCAAGGGTATTGTTTAATAATGATTGAAAATTGTTGAATGATGTGATTCTGTTGTAGGTTTAAGGATCTCAGTTCTAGTAACAGTTGCACTGATGTTTGTAGGAACAGGGATTAGGTGTATCACATCAAAACCCAAACCAGCAACATGGTATGTCCAATGTAATTGTAACTGGTTAAAATATTTGCTGATCTTATCAAAGACTTGGAATTTTTTCTTTGTTATCAGATTTTTAATACCTGTAAAGCAATTCATTTTTTTCAATTTTCAATAGGCTAATACACACAGGTCAATTTTTTAATGACCTTGCAGCACCAGTTGCCATGGGTGCTCCACCCTTGGTGTCCTCTACATGGTTCCCCCCTAATCAGAGAGCAACAGCAACAGCAATCTCATCATTAATGAGTTATGTTGGAATATCAATATCATTTGGAGTAGGGCCTTTTGTTCTCAATCCCACAGAAGTTGCAGATCCTTATCTGCCTAACGCAGATATTTACAATAACTCTCACAAGGACAGTGTTGATTTGGGAAATAATAGTACAAACAGTTAAGTTCTCTTTGTCATTTTACTTCCATTTGGTATTAATAATTATTAGTAGACATCTATCTGTTTGCAATAATGATGCACTACAGTTTTAAGACTAATGATGATGAAGAACTAAGGTTGGTAATGCTCTCATGTATAGGATATTGCAAGGAAGTGAGGGAATTTCCTATGTAAACAAGTTATGTTTGAAAGTTCGTTCATTGGACAAGTCATAGCATTGTAAACTGATCTTTGAAAGCTTTAATTCTAACCAAATCCCATAGTGTACCCTATTGTAGTAAATTTATGCATAGTAATCATAATAATTTGGCAGTGGTTATTCCACAAGGTGGCTCTTTCTAACCACTGTTTCCAGATCGAATTGGAATGCTAGTTTTTGTGGAGGAAGGAAAACAGGAGGACCAAGAAAAAACCCTCAGAGTAATGTTGAGAACCAATAACAACCCCAACCCACATGTGACGCCAGGTCTGGGAATCAAACCTGGGCCACAGCAGTGAGAGGCGAGTGCTCTCACCACTGCACCATCTCCACTCCTCCCAATTCATTCATAATTGACCAATCAGGCAGAAGATATTTTGTTAAATGTGTTAATAATTAACATCTTTATTTAGCTATTAGACAATAATAAGTAATATAATTTTGTTGTTCACTTACCACACAGAGATGTCTTGGGATGAGGCTGTGTCTACTGCAAGGTGGCATATCATGCTTTATATGTACATTGGTTAGTAAACAAAGATTGTGAAATTTTGCAAAAGTTTAGGTGCAACATAACTTTGTGTAGCCCTTTGGCAACCAGGACCTTTCTGAATTTGTTTGTTGTCCTGAACAATGTATAAAATCAATCTGTCTGCTGTGATATGAAGCAACTGGGGTAGGAGAATAATTATTGATTTAAGTTCTCCTAGATGATTATACCTTTTTATATCAGGTTTCTAATCCTTTAACTCCAAAGATCTGATTGTTAATTCTCTCTTCTAGCTGCTACACATTTTCTCATAAGCAAGTTACAAGAATTTGGTTTTAGATCAAGGTAACAACTTCTACCTGATAAGTTTGAGTAATAAAATGCCTAACCATCTCTTCTGAATTCCACAGAGTTTGGATTGGTGGCCTTCTTGTTTCTGTGTGTCTTGGTGTACTTCCCAGCAAAGCCTCCCAGGCCACCCAGTTTTTCTGCTGCCAAGAAAAAAGTTGACTATGTAGAAGGTGGAAAAAGACTCATGAAGTGAGTCTTAACTTTTTTTTAAAGATATCTCAGTATTTGACATTGTTTTTTTTGTTGTCACTGAGCCTCTCTAAGAATTACCAGGACCCTCTGAATGAATCTGAATGGGTCACCCTGTGGCCATCCTGTGTAGTTTACCTTACCTTATCCTACTTTACCTGCAATCATTTATAACATGAAATCAAATTGAGTACTTAGAGAGATTCAGAAAAAGTGTTTGAAGATTTGTAAATATTAGGCTATGCTGACCCTATTGCTTTTGCTGTTATTTTTGTAGAAATTGCCAGTTCTGGAATTTAAACATTCTTTATGGAGCAACAACAGGTAAATTTGTAAAACATAGCATTGCAAACAGTCCATCATACCCTCATTTGTGACTGAAAGAGGGTTGTGTATCTCAGCAAGACCATGCAAAGGGAGTTTCACAAAAGGAAACACAGTATGGTGTCATATTTTCCTGTGAAATTTACCTCAGGAAAGAAAATTTCCTGTCCTTTATCTAAATTGTTGTTGGCTCTTTTGGTTTTGCCCACTTGACAGCAGATTAAATTAGAAAAGAAGGGCTACTCGCAGAAAAGTGAAATCCATTATATTGGCTCTCAAGTGTAAAGTCCTGTTTATCAGTGAATTCAGAATGGTACAGGTACTGTAAGAAAGAGACACAAAATGCAAATGACAAGTTTCCTCTACATGCTTAAATTCATATTGATAATATTTTTCCTCAAGGTGTTTTCAGTGGATGGGGAGGAGTGTTGGCAGTGAATCTCTTGGCATTCAACTTAAAACAAGTAATTATCTTTCTTGCTACTCATTAAAGAGCTTTCTCTTCTTTAAGCTTAGCTCACTCCAGTGGCTGCCTATTCTAACTTATTTTGATCAAGACTTAATTTCTGGTCAAAGTTTCAAACCTGTCACCTTTATCAGTTTGCTTGATCACCAGCTGTTTCAAGGTAGGTTGTCGTGGTAGAACAGAAAAATGTCACAGTACACATGACAACTGCAAAAGGTACTGTGGTGGTACTCAGGTCACAGTTCCTTGACCTCAGATTTCAGGGAAATCTGAAAAAATGTCACTTTAAGGACAAGTCATCATGGGTTGGTGAATTAATTAATTTATTTGACTTATCATAATTATTCACTGATCATTAAATAACCTTTTGACATGGTTGCATTCACCTTATTTCCTACAACCTTTCATAAAACAGCTGTATGCCCCCCTTCCATTCTGGTAGTAACCCTTTAACTCCCATGAGTGACCAAGAGAGAATTTCTCCTTAAAAAAACAATACAATATCAACCAGATAAGTGATGAGAATTAAGAAAAGTATCAATTTGGAGATAATTAGTGGATCCAATACTAAATTCTCTGAACTAATATTGTTAGAATTGTATGGTTGACAGTAAGGAGAATTACAAATTTGATCTGGGAGTTAAGGGTGAAAGCTTCCCTCAAAAAACTTTTTGCTGTGGAAATTCAAAAATGACTCTTACTGATTGGTGTTAGCATGTTATTTATCTGATAATTTAAGATTTGCTAAATTGCAATATTTTTTGTGTCCTTTTCTGAGCACATCCACTGCTTATCCCCTTGAGAAGACTCAATCATCAAATTGGTGAATAATATATAAATAAACTCAAGCAAGAGAGAACATTTGATATTTGATTTATTTTAAGGATACTGCTGGTTGGATCGGTTTCTATGCCAACATCACAGGTTGTGTCTTTGGATTCATCATGGCAAGGTATTAAAGGGTGGAGGGGTTGGATTATTGGTATAGGTTGCATGCGACATAGAATTACGTGGCTGAGAAGGACTGAGTGGCTTGAAATTTGTTTTTATGACGGGAGGGGAGGGTTAGGCACTGGTGAAAGAGATATAGGAAAGTGATTGAGGCTAGAATACTCCTCTGTCTCTGGAAGAGTATTCTGTGATCAGGGTTTGTTTTTTCTTTTTGTGTTTTCTACCATGATGAAAGATAGGGAAAAACAAGAGTAAACAAGCTATCGTAAATTGCTACAAATTTTCCTTTTTTTGTACGGATCGTTAATATGTGGAATAATTTGCCTAAAGATATTGTACATGCAGGATCATTGACTTTATTTCGTAACAGACTAAAGATTTACATGAATATTGATTGAGATGATGGTAAACAGTTTTTAATTATCTGTGTATAATGTTTTGGTCTTTTTATTCGGGGAATCTTTTGTATAGGGTTAACCTCTAGAATATCCCCTTTTGAGAGATACTTTTATAATTTTTTTTTTCATTTTCCTTCTCTTGAATAAAGTATTGTCATTGTCAACGAATGCAGTCCTTCACAATCATCATCTTTAAACGTAACCCCCCCCCTCCCCGAAAATCTTTTTTTTTTCTGTGTATAAATTGATACAGGGTGAGATCCATAAGCTCTCAAAGTATTCCTTGAAATATGTTAGAAATACACTTGAAAGACTTTTGCCAGCTCGCAGTTTGGGTAAAAACTATTTGAATCATGTTCTACCCGGTCTCGGGATTTTTTTTCTTTTCTATCTTTTTTTTCGTCCTCTGTCCGAAGCAGAAATGCAAAAAATAACAACAGAAACTCAGATGCCCTTTGTATCTAGACAAGGGAGTGCTCACAGTTTATCATTAGGTAAAAGATGAAAATTATTATAACCTAAAAAATGTATCATAGGTTCAATATTTGTTATTTAGTAATGTAAAAATTTCCTTTTTCTAGGTTTGCTGATGTGTTTACCGGGCACATGAAGTTATTCCTTATCTTCCTGTTCCTGGGTTCTACTGGCTCGTTTTTGTGGTTTTCACTTCTCTGTCAAAGATTTATTCCATTTTCAAAAGGTGCGCAAAGTTGATTATTCACGTAGTGTACAAGGATTGCACGTGCTCGTGTATACTGTTAATAACGAAACCTCGTTTTTTTCTGCTCGAAGAAACGTGGTTAATAAGATATATATTTTATCTCTGGGTTCAAATAGTAGGGCAAGAATGGTTGGGCGTGGTAGGGGCTCCAGGCATTCAGATTTGACAGTCCGTCGCTCCACCAACTAAGTGACGGTGATAAGTTGGTTTTATCGACTGAGTTGACAACGTGAATTGGCCACCGTAAAGAGTTTCCAAAGCTGACTTTTCGAGCGTTAGCCCTTTGTCAGAGCGAAAGACGAAGGCGCTGACGAAGCGCTAACGCTCAAAACGCCACCCTTATGTAAAGGACGGAGAACTCGTTGGCGAGTTAGGCCATACACTAGTTTTCTGTGCGACAAGCGACACATAAACGATGATATATGATATATACACTCCAACCAACTACTTCTCACAACGAAATTCTTCCTCGTTTAAATGCTGATTCATTTTTCCTTCAGTGTGGCTGTACATCTCCGCAATCCTCGGCGGTTGCTTTATCAATGGTTCCATCCCGCTGTTTTATGAGCTCACGATTGAAACAACGTATCCTATTGCGGAGGGAATTCCTATGGCTGTGGTGACTACCTCTAATCATTTATTCTGCCTGCTGTTTTTGGCTGCATTGATGATTCCTGGAATAGGTGAGATGACTATTTACACTACAGTAATTTTTCAATCGTATTTAGTGGCGTACAACCAAATTCATGCTGGCCAGTCGCATTATTGCCATAAAGCACCAGTACGAACTTAGGGTACGAGTTAAAAAAAAAAAAAAAACCCCAACTTTCTAAACCATTATAAACGCGAATTACATAATAAAGAGGTTTAATTTTGCATCTGGTTGGTTGAGAGGATGGCGCAATAGGCCAATAACATGGCAAAGTAAAGAAATATCAATGACTTTAGAGAGGGTGGAAAAGGGTTATACGTGACGCATGATGAAGGCCACAAATTGATATGTGACGTGTGAAATTTACAGAAAGATTTGAGTGATTCGTAAATTGTTGAACCAGCGTGAGGCGTGATATGCCCCCTGAAATATACGTGACCCGTGAATACGTGATCTACAAGGTGTTACATTTGCGCTTGCTTTATTAAGTGCGACCTGGCGCGCCTTTTGTATCACAAACTATTGGAAGAAAGCGTCAGTGACGTGTCTCGACGTGATACTGCGCTTGCGCAATTCAGTTAAGTTTATATTTAGATGAGTCTGTTGTACTCTAAAGACCTTCTTGGAACTGATTTTCGATATGAAGACTGAATTCTCTACCTGAATCTTCCATTTAGGAACCTTGTGGATGAATTGGTGTATGGTGGGCATTTGCGCTGGATGTATTCCTCTTTTACTACTGTTTAAAGAAAAGTACTCTCGCCTTGAACTGGATGCAGCAAATAGGAAAGCGAAGCGTACTGGAGCAATACAAAACACAAGGCAGGACGAGGAAACTCCGCTCATATCTTCGGTGGAAATCGGTTATGGCGGAGGTGAAAAAAATGGAGTCCACAACAGGAATGGTTCAACAACTTCTGAAGTTTAAATGCTGTACTTATAGGGCTATTGACAGTTGGTACAGACTTTAGAGCAATCTTTGCATCTTTAAAAATGATAACCTTTAAAATTCAAATGGAATGAAATACCCAAAATAAGAATCTGATCGCTTTGTATGACGTGTACTGAAATACCCAAAGTAAGAATCTGTTTGAGAAGGGGGTTCGCTTTTTATGACGCCGTGAGGGGCTCCTGATGACGTGTACAAGGGTGTGTGGTGCCACAGATTGTCAATTTAAGTCACTTGCTTTTTTTATTTTTTGTTTCTTCTTTTTTCAAAAGGTGTTTACTTGGAATTTTCCTGGCCTGGATTATTAAGGATGTTTGTTTTTAGTACTGCAATCTGCAATCGGGCGCTTACTCAAGAATTCCTATTGAGCAGCCTGGCATTAGAACGTACAAATTTTGGCCTCCCTTTTTCCTGTCTATCTTGAAGTGATTTACCACAGGTAATAAAGTTTCAAGATGTAAGACTCCAAGGGTAATCAGCAATATGACAATCGTGATAAAATTAATTCGGTCAACCCTTTGACCCATAACAATAGTAACTTGCGTCTAATTCCCCCCCCCCCTCCCGCTTTTAATATTATCCCCTGAATCGATGGTTAAGGCACAAGAGTAAAGAAAATTATTACCAACGTAAGAAGCACTTAGTTCGTAAAGAAATTCTCCTTGTCAGCACCATAGAAAATACATAGAAAACAGTATGGAGAATATGCATACTGATCTCAGGGTGCAAGGGGTTGATCTTTTCTTGATACAATGTATCACGAGGTTTTACTTAACAAATGTCACGGAATATACTTTGATCCAAATCTAGTTTTAATTTTCAATTTAACTGAGATGAACCTTGTAGCATCCAGTTTAACAAAATTACTATTGTCGTATTTGCTTCCTCCTCCGGAATGTATTTTGTACATGTACATGAAATGTTTACTTGCTGTTTAATCTTTCCATTTCGAGGACGCTATTATATGTAATTCTGTTGAATGTTCACCGTAGTATAAGATCAGATTCTGATAGTTGACATTTCAGCTATTTAATGTGTTAATTTAAAACCCTATTAAACGAGATGACATATTTATGAAAAATCTCCTATTAGTTGCTGGAAACAACATTGGTTGTGTTTCAGTGCATGCTCAGAGAATAATTTTTTGTAGTAACGAAAATAGGTACAATGCGTTAGTTAAATGTAATATTAATTTGAAATCTTCCTGTCGATTTATGAGCGGTGGATTTTTTTCCTTTATCATTTACGGAGGAAAACGTATTGAAGTACAATTCAATTTATAGATCAGTATTTAAATTTTTACTTGCCTTTTAGGAGTCTTATCAGAAGCATATGATATAATTTTGCTTCTACTCAAATGAGCTGCATACTCAAAATTGTACACGTCCAATGAGTTACAGTAATGATAGAATTATGTATTAAAATGCAGTTGAAGAATGCGGTCAAGTGCTCATTATTAGTGCTGCCACAAAGCGGTCCTTTGCCCGCGAGAAAGTCTGAGTCTACAAGGGATCTGGCACTAATATTTAGAGCCAGACCTCTGAAAAGTCTAAAAATCTTCCCTCAGGCGGAGGAAAGTGCATCCTGTAGCAAATGACACGAATGAGATCGTGTTTATTCGTTTATTTCAATCAAACGAACGAAAAACTTACTTTTATGCCTGATCAACGATTATGACTAAATTCACAACATGATTAGGGGGGAGGGGGAGGGGAACAGAGTACTATGAATTCTAGCTTGCTCCAGGCTCCCGTCTTGTTTGTGTATCGCTCGCATGCTCTTTAGCTTGCCCTCACTGATTGAAAACCTGTGCATTAAAGAATCTCATCGTGCCCTTAATTGCGATGAACTGGATATTGATGATCATCGCATGTCTGCAAGTAAGCATTTCACTCCCGCCTTCGGATTGAAGAAGGCTCCAACCCAGCTTCCTTACTCGCCTTATCTCATAGGCTACCGCCTACCGATCGCTATCCACCTTGCATCATGGGATCACAGGCGGGAACTCTCAACTGCTGTTCAGCAGTTACAGGATAAGTTCATGTTGTTTAGGCCCTGATGGTATTTATTTATGGCGGTATGAAAGAAAGACGGCGGGAAACTACAATATAACTTTGCCGAAGGACCATCCAGCTGAGCGAGTACCCCCTGACTACGAACATGGTTTTGCGTTCAGAACGCGACAAAGATCGAGTTATGACCACTTTGTTCTTCCTTAGCGAAATCCGCAGATCGCAGCTCAAAAACTTGCTGTTTTTAACCCTCTGAAACCTCTGCATTAAAGACCTAGACACGGAGAAGTTTTGGAGCATTGTGCTCCCATGGGCAAAATTCGACAAAACGCAAACCTCATAACTCAGGTGACGAAGACCGAATCCAATGAATGTACACGACACGAAGAAAGATCACGTCTAAAAAAATCGTGTAGATATCGAATTGTCAAACGGGTAGGTAATTTAGGTGTGGCACAGTTTACCACTCCCTTCCCCTTTTGAAAAAATCCTTGCCACGCCCCTGTCACATACATACTTCATAGTCTGCAAGTTGTTGAAAAGAACACCAATACCGCCTTCTCGTGTAACCCGCTGACCAAATTTCAAAGTGGTGGTCGTCCGCGGTTTTTAGTGTTAGTGAGTGATACCACGTATTGCGGATATTTTGGATAAGATCATCCATAAGACGATAAGATTGAACGGAAATCTGACTTATTCCTTCTGAGAAGTAAGCCGACTTGGAGCCGGTTACCATCCTCCAAATGATGCCATAAAAAAAAGTCACGATCTTATATGAAGCGTCTGCTTCGTAGAAAACTTTTGTCATGAAAGATGTGTCGGTCAGTTAGATCGAAAAACCGTGACGTTTTATTTAAAAAAGTTATGCTGCATCGTTTTTCGTGCGCATACTTATCTCTTTTGGCGTGCAGACGTCTCTTCATGCTAATCAGTTCCTCTGCCGTTATTTTTTTTTTTTCTTTTTGTTTTGTTTGTTAGCTTTTTTTTTTGTTTCGTTTTGTTTTCTTTTTTATTTCTGGTTAAAAAAATTGCAACAAGCGGAAAAAGAGAGTCCATGAAAAAGCCTTTGTCTATGTGTCGGTAAGGTGTGCACGGAAGCGTCACTTGTGGTTTTCTTGCACTCGCGATGATATGAAAAGGAGGGCGGAGCGGCGTCTGGAAAAAACGATTTTTAAACCTCACTCTCTCGCGCCTTGCCTCTCAACGCTCCAAAGAACACTCAGAGCCGCCTGCTAGACATGTTGTGGGAGGTGTCTGCTAGCTGTTTCATTACAACAATGGAAACTTGTTTCTTGATTAATTTGGAATAAATGAAATCGTAACGCGCTGAAACGGAGCCGCCTGATGTAACTTGACCAACGGCGCACACCTAAAACCACAGTTACTGAGGAAGTGATCAAAGAATCTCAAAGAAAGTCGAATAATTAATCAATGGCCATTTTAAAGTCATTAATTAAACTGACCAATCATCCGAGCTAAGACAATAATAACCGGCTTTGGAATGCGTGACGAGCTAAATTTAGGTATTACAATTAAAATAACATTCATTTCACTCAGACAAGAAAAAGCAGATTACACCACAGTCCGGTTCTTTGATTGGATTGTTTGAAGTCGTTATTTTCTCTAGCACAGCTTTTCATCCTCAACACAGATGAATTCTCCGAGGTATGAATGTTCTCAATGTGGCGGCTCGGCTTGCGAACTGAAATGCCTTCCGTGTTCACACACTGTGTGCACTTATTGTTTTCATATGCAAAACAGTCATGCGACTGCTGCTTCTGTTAATTGTACGTGCCCAATCGACAAACACGAGTTTCATTTGGCTGATGACGGCATTGAGAGCTTTCCTACCAGGGGTTTTTCGGTTGAGGTTTCAAACAATCGAGCGTTTAATGCCCAATCACAACCAGCTCACGTCGAGATGGATGCACTGTTGACATACACACAGGAATACAAAAACGATTTGTCAATTTCCATCCGAGACATGGAACATGCCATTCATTCGTCATTATCAGAGCAGGAGGTTCGTGTGAAGGAGGAGATCAGACGAACTGCCGAAGATCTGATCGAGGTTGTTCTGGCGAAAGAGAAAGAGTTGTACAGAGACGTGGATCGATTTATCGAAGCAGAAAAACGAGAGAAGCAGCAACAATTGGCAGACTTCTCTCTAGAGGCTCATCACATCGTGGAAGTAGTGCGACGACATCACGGCCAGTTTAAACAAGTGAGGGATAATCCTGCGCTCATGGATCAACTGCAAACGAGCCTTCAAACCGTAAATGAACGCAAGAGCGCCCTCATGGAGGAGAATCGACGTTCTTCGGTCAAGCTTTCATTTAAAATCAACGAGAAGTGTTTTGAGGAGCCGATTGGGAAAGTGGAATGTAGAAGGAGCAAAGGTCCCACAGGAAGTGATCAGCTCAATTCTCCTTTGACGATACCTGTGCGCCATCTGTCATCAAGGCGGCGGTCCTCGAGCGAGCGCAAGAGAAAAGCAGGACAAGTTATTAAAAATATCGTTCCACCGAGCCCTTTAACAGAAAAATTCCGTCCGTGGGCTGTCTCCGTAAGTGAAAGTGGCCACATTGCTGTCGTAGACAGAGGAAATAACTGTATTCACATTTTTAATCCGAGAGGCGATTTCTTACGGCACGTAGCCAAACCCTACGGAAACCAAAGCAAGTTCTTAGAGGTGTATGGCGTGACATTTTTATCACGCAGTACTTTTGCAGTGGCCGAATACTCGCCGTCAACCGGAAGTGGGTGTCTCTTGGAAATGGATATTTCTGGGGAGCACTTGCGCGTGATTGGGAATCTCAAAGGGCCTGCCTATATCACTGCATTCAACACCGCTTCACGAGAAGGGAAGAAAATCATAGCAGTTTATTACACAAACAGCTTGGAGGCACCTGAGATATTTGGCGACGAAAGCAAGCTCGAGCTACCATTGCAAGAAAATGACAATGGCTTTCTGTTTCATCCTCAAAAAGGCGTCTTTTTGAAGGACAAACTCGTGTTTTCTGACATAAATGAAAGGAAGAACCAAGGATGCGTGAAAGTCTTCGAGTCCCAGGGTCAATTTAGCCATGAGTTTGGTAAACAGCCTATTTGGAACGAGGAAGGCTTGGGCCATCCTCTTCGTATTGCCGCTGACCCTTTAAGCTGCAAAGTCCTAGTTTACCACCAGTTTTCCAGCAAGATGATGGTGTATGACGTCAATGGCGCATGCGTGTCGGAGTTTCGTACTGTATCTGGACTTCTTGACTTTGTTGTTACAGCCGATGGCCACATGTTTGCCACGTGCAGCAACAACAGCGAATTTCCAAATTCTCTAATCGTTTTATCTTATAATACTTAAGAGATGAAAATTTCAGTGACTAATATTCAGCGTTTTAAGGGCGATTCAAGGAATTTTTGATGGGGGGGGAGGGGGGGGTCAAAATAACTGAGCTGTAGTCGTAAGACAGGAGAGAATAAGGCTTCCTTGTTACATGTTCTCTTTAGGAGTAGTAACGGAAATCCAACGAACTCCATTATACATTTAGAGAACAAGGCTTTTGACTCACCGCTTATGAAAAGAGCTTGTCACTTTGTTATGACTTATGACAGCCATGACAAGACGGTCGACCCTAGAGTTCTTCGTGTGCGGAAAACAGAAGCACTGGGGACTAGAATTGTACATTACGAGTAACAGTGTGCGCTCACAGGTCCTAGATCTATGATTGTTGTTGTTGTTGACACCGACCAACTTCTGCCACGTACTCAGGCGCCATTTCTCATTCTCGCGACCAAGGAAAGGAAATAGTATACGCGCTGGCGATACGGTTTGACTTACAGGGTGAACCAGGGTCATATTTTTCTCAAAACGAATGATGCTTTGGAATAAGAGGAACATTCTCCTTAAACTCTGCGGTGTTTTCCTATACATTTGTGTTTTGTTCAGTTTGTTGCCTGGAGGCAAAGAGAGGATGTCTTATTTAGTCAAAAAATGGAAATTAAAGGCAATACTTTGGGATGTTTGCTTCATTTCCTCAAGTTGTAAAGCTATTTTTTGCAACCAGTATCTACGCAATTACCTTTAATTTTTACAACAGCCCCGATGCCTCTGTCTCTAACACCCTTTTTTTATTTTTTCATTTTTTTCTATAGAAAAACGTGTTTTTCTTTCGGACTTGTTGAAAGTCAACCTTCTTTTTTTCTTTTATCAAAATCATTGAAAACATCGGTTGCGCAAGGTCTCTCACCCTAACCCACCCAACCAGAAAAATAAGTCTTGCATGTATACTATGTTTTCGTCTAAATGTGATTCGTGCTCTCTGCATTTTTCGGCGTTTTTTACTCTCTCTTATGACTTAGGAATGAGATTTTATTTCAGTGGCCCAATTTGTGTTTTGTCATGAAGACTGGTTGTTTAGGTTTGTTCACTCATTTAGACAAGATCCTTGTTTCGCATTGTTTCAACTCTTGATACTATTTGTCATAATCAATTTGCTCCCTATAATATTGCAATCGTTGCAGGAAAAATGAAACAAAATGATCGTTTTGTGAGGGTCTCAATGGGGTAAGTCGCTGGCCTTAAAACGGCCAAAAACTTTGACGATTAGGCAAAAAATTGAAAAATTTTAACCGTTAGTCGTTAAAAAAGTTAACCGTCAGCCCTGAAATGGCCAACGTTTAACCTTCCGTCGTAAAAGCCGCCACCCCGTTGAGATTCTAACACCAAGAGTTTCGTGTGGATTGTTCGCCTTTGTATTATTTTATGAATAGTTGAATGTGATCAGTTTTCGAGTGTTTTCGCAATATCCCAAATGAGTTGTTTCGCCTCGGTCTATAACTCAATTATGGTCTGAGTTAATTTCAACTAGATTGAAAGATGCTCGCTTCGACGTGTCACGCAACGCCCTTTATCAGCTCTCAAATATGGATGACTCGGAAATTTTGACGTCGGTATTGGGGCGAAAAATAATTTTTTGCGTGAGTCCACAACATTTTGACCACTGTGATGACGAATATTGTTGTCGCTAAAAGTACTAAGCTTGACCACTGTCGATTTGTTAATTTTCGTTGGAATGTTTGGAAAGTTGATGTTTTTCTCCATAAAATGAAAACAACGGTTACTACGGTTACTAAACCACCCAATCCAAACTGAAAATTAACTCTTGCACGCGATGCATGCATATGTTTTGACTTTGAAAACGTCAGTTATCGACTTATCTCATTTTGTAATTTATTCATCCTTTTCGATGTCGAAAATACTGCTTGTTTTTTCGTATTGTTGTTTGCCTCATAATAAACAGTCCCAAATTTTTACCTCAAAAATACATCTTAGTTATACTGAAACATACTGAATGCTAAAGGTAGCCATTCAAATCAGGGAGAGTTAAAAAAAAAACAGCCTTTAACTAATCGTGAATTATTTTTCATTATATAAAGTGTCTCGTCAATAAATTATTTTACTCAGTGTTAGGCATTTAGACAGCATGATCATGGTTGATTCATCAGAAATATTTACTTAACCTGTGGTTAATTTATTTACTGTTTTTTAGATCTTCTTTGTCCCTGACCTTGTCGCTATTTTTTTCATTCGCACAAGTATGACGTATCTTACATCCTATGGTGTCGCTAGAGAATTTCTTTTGCCTATAGTCTATGGTGATAATTGTCTTTTACTTTAGAATGACGCAAATTCCGTGTTTTCAGCGCGAGTGCAAAGATAATTTAAGTGGCCCTAATTAGTAGCGAGTTGTGGGTAACATGTCTAGGATCAGAGATTTGAAGAAAGAATTTAAGTTTCTGCGGACATTGCAAAGGGTATGCTATGCCTAATTTACTCTCATTAATTCTTACGTTAGCATAAATATTATGTGCCCAGTCAATTGACGAAAATAGAGCCACCAGTTGTTAAAGATTGAATTTCAAACGCTGAACCTTGTATTGTGGCAGCAAGCAGCGCCTACTTCACCATTCACGTAAAGTGGAGTTTACCTGTTTCCGGATTGAATGAAGAGCCTATCTTCTGATGGATATGTTAAATAAAATTTGCTAAGTTCATAATTTCTTCTTTTTCAACCCACACAGAATACACTGGATGTGTACGGTACGCCGAGCAATTTCCAAGACCAACGTTTACTGTCAGTAGTGGATCAAAAAAGAATGAGATTCTTTAATCCAAGAACACCAGCTAACCCTTGGGAAAAAATGCAGAAAATTGTAAGGATGAGTTAAAAATCAAATTTTACGAATGGTCGGGGTATGGTATCAATTCATAATCTCAATCGAAGATTCAAGTAAGAGAGACTTATTTCAATTTGATAACAAAATTTTTTCTCGATGAATTTATGACACTCGCTAATCAAGAATAAGATTTAAGACTGATGCCAAAACCGTCCGTTTTATTAAAATTCATCTCGGCGGTTCACATACCTTAGTCAACTTAAAAATATATTATAAATGGTTATTTTTCACTTGCCGCCTATACAACTCAACACTCGCTCTATTTTTGTTGACGTCCTATCAGTGCTTGTTGGACGATTATTTTCAGATGTGTCCGATAATTAGTTAATCACCTGCAAACATTTTACCTCTAGTCTGGAGAGGATTTGCCCGAAAACACAGAGTGGATCAATACTCTTTCCTCCAGAAAACGAGTAAGTAATTATTGACTGTTCACATATAAACTCCTCTACTTTCTAAAATTTTTTCAAATCTTATCTCAGTCCATTGGGTTCAAAGGGTTATTAAGGCGCAGTGGAGTAACATGTAGAGCACTGTTTGGAAGATCGTAGATGTTTGCGCGTTTTTTTTTCCCAAGTTTTCTTCGTTGAGCATGGCGGTTGGATGAATATTTTCTCTCTTCTCTAAAGTTCGGGGAAATTGACCCCACTAGATCTTAAAAGTTAATGACATGAAACTTCCTCTCACGTACGTTGTCCACGTTAAAACCTGCAAACGAATCTATTTGACACACATATCAGCTTAGAGGCATTATACCTTTATGTGAGAGCAAATTCTCTCAGATTATTCAAGTTTCAAAGAAACATAGAGCAGCTTGAAGATAGAATTGCCACCTATTCTATCTTTGAATTTATTGCTACCTATTTTATCTTTATATCTTTGAATTTAATTGGAAAAAATCAAGTATTCTACTTCACAGGCTCATCTAAGAAGCGAGAGAGACTACAACTGGGAGATGGCGATGCGTAGTGCGAACAGCCAACCCAATTGGCTTAAAAACCGACGAAAAGAACGCAAATCTTCTTTCTTAGACATGTTCAGGAGAATGTCCATGAGTTTGGTAAGCAGGCAGAGTACTGATTACCTTTGGACAGGAAATGTTATCTAGCCATGTATTGCTATCCTATGAACGCTATTCATTTAAGTTTAATGGACACCAATCCAAAGAAATCATTACGACCCAACAGAACCAAGGTATCGGTATCACAGGAGTCAAGGGTTCAAATTCCGTACAGGACTGATCGCACTTTTTTTTTCAGGCCTTATTTTTACTAATGCTCTAAGAGTGTTCATTACTGCGCAGATCGCTTTCGTAGTCACTTCCTTACCCGCCGCACACACATATGATGTTCATACATTCGCAGTCAGTTGTATAACTGAACACAATTTAATAGCCTCAAGTGCGGGTAAATGCAAGTGACTCTGCGTAGCACGACTTGTTTTTTTTCTGTATTCAATCGATTGAAATGGTGGCGCGAGATTTTTAGATCAATCACAGAGCGTAAAATAAAATGTCCGGATTGCGCTCACACTGTACGTGAATTAAAAGGGTTGTTGAAAGAATCACGCCATTCCCAATTTTGATTTTGAATTTGCATAATTATCGCGTCTGGAACATTCATTCTGTTAATATCTATGGCCTGTTTTACTTATTGTCTAATAACTATTCTGTTAATACCACTTTCAGCCTTTCAAGAAGAATTCGAAGCAAACCAAGTTGAAAATTCCTGTCATCATCATCACTGAAGCGACTGAGGACATTATAGCATGGTAAGGCTTGCCTGATTTAAAGTGTACTGAAAAGATAACTTGAGTTTGGCTTACAACCGTAACTACTCTTTTGTCTAAGAGCCTCGTGCCACAAGTATTATTTGAGAGCGTAGTATCCGATCTCCAGGCAATAATTATATTGGATATTTCGGAAGTGTCCAGAGTGAGTAGTCCCCTCCACCAACTCTGGTTTAACACAGATACAAGGAAAATAGATCTGCTTTTCTTTCTTCGTTTTCACTCTCCTCTCCATGCCGCCTGGACTGTTTTATCACGCGTTCCTGCACGAACGTTCGTCGGCTTCTCCTCTCTCAATAGCCGTCCAATCTCGATTTGCATTTCTTAGAATTTTGATCGGTTGCTATCAACGCACCAAAAAAAGTGATTTGGTAGCAGAACATGAGTTGGTAGTGTGGGGTCTGGGCATACTATGCATTTCCCTATTTTAAATGCACTTGGTACTTGAACTAAGAAAGAAGAGAGAGAGCACTAGAAACGAGTTAGCTTTATTTCTATGCCTGAAAGAGGGACGTTCTTCTACGCAGCTCGGCTCCTCCGTGTATTCAGTTAAATCAGTTTTTTTTCCTTATCTTTCTTGACCTCTTATCCAGTATAACTTTAAAATTTTGCTGTCTTTTTGCAGATATAAATACATGTGAGCCTCGCCAGTCGATAGAATCCTGTTCAAAACAATTTCAGTATTTGGAAAATCTGAATATGTATGTGCACTCTAAAATCCTTCGACTTTCTCCTCATTATGGTGAAAATAAAATTATTTCAGGAGCCATTGTGATGATTCTGACAATGCTCATACCCAGACTTTCCACGGCCAAGCGGTTAAATTTAAGTTACACGATAGGATCTGGGTACGAGATTAGACTCTAACAGGAATTTGAGAAATTAAACCTGATGTTTAATTCCCAAGATCTGATTTGTTGTTGGACCAAGGGGACATTTTTTACCTGATAAGTTTAAGTATTCCTCAACACCTGTTTGCTGAATGTGTGGATATCATAGAAAGAAGTAATATGTTAATCACTTCTGGGACTTAAAGGGTTAAAATTCAGATCTTTTGCAATCCGCGTTAATTTTCTCCGTTCCTCATCATTCCTACTTCTTTTCCGTTTCACCTGATTTCAAATTAGACTTTTAACTCGCTTGACCCGTAAATGTATCCCATCCCTCGGGCCAAGGGTAACGCCCGAATGTAAAATTAATGGTACTTGTGTATCAGGTGCTCGAACAAACTTAAACTTCCTCAAAATCCTGACCAAGGCGACTTTGATTTCCATCATGGCATATTTCATTCCAATACAGTTCCTTGGACCGGCGCCAAACGGAAGGAATTGGAACGGGTGACGCGCTTCCTTGGCGGGTCCCCGGAACCTCTCCGGGTCATATACTTTGGGATCGGGCCACGCTTCGGGATCGTGGTGAAGCGCGTAAACCGGTATGGTAACATCCATACCGGCGGGTATTGTGAGGCCTGGACTTATTGCGCATGTTTCTTCGCATTTCCGATTAAAGATGTGAAGGGGTGGGCAAAGCCGCATAGATTCGTTCATGATGCAATCGAGATACTCAATTTCGTGGACGAGATCGTACAAAGGCAAATCGTGGTAAGTTTGAATGGCAATCTCTACCTCACACCTTAGTCTTTCTTGGACATCAGAATCCATAGCGAGGTGATATGCAGTGAATGCCAGTGTGCTACTGGAAGTTTGATAACCCGCCAATAAAAACGTAATCAACTGAGCTATCACCTCTTCATCGGACAGTTTACTGACACCCTGAGCTGCAGGTTCATCGTGAGCGGTTAGCAGGAGCTGTATCAGATCATTTCGTCCCTCAGTAGCATATTTTTTCCTCTCTTCGAAAATCTCTGTTGCCGCGCCCACGAAGAACGCTAAACCTTGCCGAAAGAACGCTATTATTCGCCTTAGTAAAGAACTACAGGGGAATATCGATAGATAAGGCGTCAGCCACAACCTACGGAACAACTTTCGTGCCTCTTTAGTCACTGAGTTCTGTGGATCTGTCTGAATGTCAGTTTTGATTCCAAAAGCAGTTAACAAGATGACATCAAGAGTTAACTTGCTGAACAACTCCACTACTTCTACACTTTTTTCTAGAACAAGACAGCAACAATAGTTAAAGCTTAACAGAATTCCCGCAATCAAAAGTTGTCCATATCCTTAATCTTAATCGAAGCGAAATCGTTTCCAATAATTTCAACTTTAAGCACACAAAGTTGACTAAACTAATAATAAGTTGTGCAATTATTAAGTGAAACAAAAGAGGCTTTTGTCATGGTAAAACTGTACTCGACATAAATTAACCAAAAGAACAAAACAGTAAAATGCACAGAAACAAAACAATCGAAAAGGAAAAGAGCAGAAAGTTTATCGTCAAACATTAAGCTGAGAAAAGTATTCTTCAGAGAAATTGATTATATTTGCTCAAATTTTTTTGTCGTCCTTTTAATAGGAATTCTTACCCCGTTTGGTCCGTTTGCTTTCGTATGTAAATTATTATTCCGGTGTAGAAGTCACAAAGTAACTCTGTCTTTGTCACGCAATTTGGTCAAACAACGAAGGGATTTTCAAAGTTGTTAGATATATTTTACTGCATACCTGAGTCAGCTACTTCATCTAATTTCTTCATCAGTACATTCACTGCATCGTCCATAAGTGGAATCATCTGTTTCATTTTACCAGTTGTGTACGATGGTGACAAAATGCTTCGAATTCGCTTCCACTGATCGTCCCTGGCTGCCAAAAGGCCACAGTTAAGAGGAGGAGGAGGTTTAACCTCGTCCGATCGATTCCTGAAACTGGTAAATTCCTTTACTAAAATTGTTTTTAAGACCTCTGGCTCAGTGATAACAATTGTGGGCGATCGACCCAAACACAGCGCAAAGATCTTTCCGTAGCGCTTCATGTTCTCCAACAACATGGCATGCAGACCACCAAACTTGTGCACTTCGAGAATACTTCCCAAGAATGGCCATGGCTCAGGTCCAGGTATACCAAGATTTTTAAGAACAGAAAACCGATATGTTCCGCACCAGTATAGCAGCCAGACAAATGTTACCAATGATCCGAAAGTGAAGCAAAGGTCACGTAGATTTAGTTCAATATCCGCCATTTTGCATACGTTACTCTCGCTAGCTGTCAGCGTGTAAACATCAAAACTATTCGTGGGAGAGCAAATAATCCACAATAAAGTTCAGGCGTGCCATGACACAGTGGGGGATGAAACGTAGATTGTAATTAAATCACGCGACCTGTGGACAGCGCAATATGGACGTGCCCAAACAAATCGGTTGACTAGTGCAAAACTGTCGGAAGTACTTAGGGAGATACTCGGGGAGTGGGAAGGGAATCTCATCGCTCAGCTCATTTTTCCTCAAGACCTCCCCCCTCATCCCCAGCTCCGACGTACACCAGCGTTGATGCCTGTGTTATGCTCATCCCGATAATTGATAGACTACTTAGAAAGGAGCACACAAAAAATTTGACTCGACGTCCAAAACTTTTGTGAGAGATAAACGCGTTCTCACCGCTGTTTTATCAAAAGAAACGATGGGTACTTTTATTGGCAAGCTATTGCTCTTTGGAGGGATGCAACGAGCGACGAGAAACATGGGAAAGTCCATGGGTTAAACAGTAGTTCTATTGTGAAAAATCCAGAGGTTTCTGAGCCGCTACTTGTCTCTTCGAACTTTTTGGAGGATCACGTGAACAACAATGAGATCACGGGAACTTAAGGAGAAGCTGTTTGCATATTGCGTTGTGCTTTTTCTTCAAGGGATCAATTTGTACGTATTCATCGTCAATGATGGTTCAATTTTGGATCAGTTCATTTTCACCGATCACAATAGAGGAGTAGCGTAGGTGTTCAATCACTTTGAAGTAGCAAGATGATTCTGCTCATGAGACAAACCATTTCATTCTCCTGTTGCCTTGAGGTAGCTGTTGTAGTTCTCCTTTGCCTGAAATACTGATTTCAGGCGATCAAACTTAACCCTTTTACTCACTCATGAGTGACTAAGAAAGAATTTCTCCTTACGATATCAATAAATCATCGTACAAACAAGTGATAAGAATGAAGATAAATATTAATAATTTAGAGGATTATTTAGTCTATTCGATAACAAATTCTCCAGACTAGCATCATAAGAGTTGTGTAACAGACAGTAAGGAGAATTACTAATGAGATCTTAGAGTTAAAGGGTTCACAAACTTTTCCTTCTGTCAAACCACCATCTGAAAGTATGAACGTACTTGAGCTGAGCAACTTAGTCAAGCTCCAACCAATACAAAAGAATTATCTTCACATACTTAAAAAAGTGTTGAATAATCAACTTTTTCTCCAGAACCCACCACTGCTAAGTAACCATCTTTTGTTAAACAATTTACTCCAGTAACTGAGCCTCGTGATGCCAAGCAACCATCTTCTGTTAACCCTTTAACTCCCATGAGTGACCAAGACAGAATTTCTCCTTACATTATTAATACTATGTCAAGCAGACAAGTTATAAGAATGGATAAAAATATAAAATAGGGGATTATTTGTTGATCTTATGCCAAATTCTCCAAACTAACATCATAAGAATTGTATAGCAGACTGTAAGGAGAATTACTAATGAGATCCTGGGAGTGAAAGGGTTGAACAACTAGCCCCAGCTACTACCCCTACTACTGCCAGGAAAAAGCCATCCTTATCTTGGGTTCTACAATCAGCCCCAAGCACTAATATTTTTACTACCAAGTGAACATGGTCTGTTTAGAATCCAGCCCCAGCTTCTACTCCTACTACTTCCAAGTAACCACCATCCTCTTCTGTTATCAAGCAGCAAGCTCCAGCTCTAAAATTACTGCTGCTAAGCAACTGACTTCATCCTCTTTTACCATGACTGGTTCCCAAACTTTTGCAAATAAACTTACAATTACCAAGCATTCATCCTCACAAGCCACATTTACTACTGCTAATCCTGTCTATATATTTCTGTGTGGAATGTTCAAATCCTAAAGCCTTTTATGGACCTTTCTACTCAACCTGACTTTGCAAATGAGCTCATTGATGAATGTTTGTTAAGATGCCTTACCTCTTCAGCTGGATAAAAAATCTTGGACCCTTTCTAAATGATGTGATTGTCCAATGACTACTCAAGTGACATTTTCAATCATTCAATAATGATTCAGACTGATTATGGTAAAAGTATGCTATCCTCCTAGCACTCATTTGAAGAATATAACCTGAGAACAAATGGGCATATTCAGAACTTTGATGGCAGCGTTTTTTTTTTTTGGTTTTTTTTTGTGCATTTGTGGCTTGGGTGATACCAACACAAAGAAAAAACTCAAGAAGGTGAGATGCTTTACAGGCTCTGGTTTGTTCTTGATTCAAATGGGTCTTTTTACTCTGTATTCTGCAACTGCAAGTGTGGAGCAGATCAAGAATGTAGACATTTGGGGGCAGTTTTTGATGGTTCTTTTTTTTTCAAATCAAAGAACGTCTGTCCCCTGTATGCGTGCATATTAGAACCCCAAACCAACAGCTACACACAAACCAGTGCCTAATTCAGAAATTAAACTTTCTTTACAGCACTGCGAGGAAAATGGTAGGAAAAATGATCCCCCTATGAAGATTCCTGGATTGATTTCTTTGATCCTAGACTTAGGAAACATGGAAAGGAAACAGTTGCTAAACAAGATATTGAATTTGCAAAGCCCTATTCTAGAATTCTTGATTCTTCACCATCTTCTAAAGACCTTCATGATAATGAACAATCATTATTATCTTGAGCAGAGGATTCTGTGAATAAAATCTGTAGAAGTTTTTGAAGAACATTCAGTTAAGTTGTGTTGAAGAATTTCAGACAGCCCTGACATTTTCAAACAATTGCTGAGAGAGTGTCAACAAAGCTGATGTGGAGCACTACAATAAGAAAATCCTGCATGAAATAGGACACTATATAGGTATGATAGAAATATCAAATCACTTTGCATAAGACAAAAAGTTATGGAAAAACTTTTTGTCCAGATTTATCTCTCATGGTCAACATTTTTACAGAACAAAAGGAATTTAAGGAAACCCAGGTTTACTCTGAATCCATGTAACATGGTTTAAAAAATGAATATAGAATGAATTTTACCCCTCAAACATCGGTGGAACACATTGCTGTTTGTTTGAGCTTGAGGAGCCAGGTCTCTTTATAGATGACTGTTTACATATATTTATTGAACCTTAACATTCATTTAAATATTCTCTGTACTGTTCCCTATACTTTTCCTAAGGTGCTGACAAGGAGAATTTGTTTAACAATCAAGAGCTTCTTAAGTTGGTGATCATTTCCTCTATTCTTGTGACATCAATGTTTGATTGAGGGGTGATATTGTAAAGAGAAATTAGATGATAGTCACTATTGTGGTTTAAAAGGTTAATGATATGATGGTGAGAGTTCTATCAGCCTAAATCATTCATCAGGGAAGGACATTGAGGGAAAATAATCTAAAGATTTTGGTTAAAATCTACCTAATGATGTTGGAACTTAACATCATAGCGCGCTCATATTATTGCATCGTTTCCAACTATACACTGGAACACTACTAAATTATTGGTTCCCTTAGCGCTAACTGGAATGCTTCCTTTACGTCACTACTTTAGAGAGGCATTTTTAACTATTGGCAAAGTAATAAGTCATCCGCGACCTACGACCTGTGAACTATGACACACCACCTGCTACTTGCGACTCATGACCCGCCAATCTTGACCTACGTTTTAGACCCACCAGATAAAAACGCACTGACTAATTCTTTTTTAATGATGCGTTGGCGATTTCGTCTCAAATTCGATTTATAATATGCAAAGTAACATCGCTTACGATTTGTAACTCGGAACAACGCATAACTTGAAATTTGGTCTGATTTTCAAAATGCAAGTGACACTTCATATGCGATTTAAGGAGGCTCGAAAGGGTTTTTACAAAGAAGGTTGTGACGTCATATCAGTTACCATGGCAACGCACAAGGTCCACAAAAATGTCCACTCAATTTTAGTTTTTGTAACACGCCACAACTAAGATGCACGCGTTAGCTGAATGAATCAAAATCGCACACCGGAAGTTAAATGTTGCTTGAAATTGCGCGAAACGGAAATAAAATCTGCGAAATACATTTGTTTCCAGCTCGAAATTTTGTTTGGTGACCTATCTTGATTTTTTGCATGCACGTACCATTCACGATGGCACTTCAAATATAAAAGTTTCGGGAAAAATTATCCAGTAGAATTTTCTGTAAGCCATAAATCGCATTTTCTTTAAATATATTTAATTCTACTGGATAAATTTTTTCCATACTGTCTGAAAATTTAAAGAATTTAGGGAACTTTCCAACAAAGAAATAAAAATGGTAGATCACCGAATTAGTTTTTCAGATAATTTACAAAAACTAAAATTGAGTGGACGTTTTTGTGGACCTTGTGCGTTGCCATGGTAACTGATATGACGTCATAAGTACCCTCAAAGTATAGCCAAGCAATAGAGTTGCAAGGAGACATATAGTTTGCCCACCCCATTGAATATCCTTCTTTGTAATCTTCTATCGTTTCACAAACACTGCAACAACGAAAAACCCTTTCGAGCCTCCCTAGGTCAAGAATAACGGTGTCGTAACCCAGCTGTCAGTAAAGATCGGTGAAATAATTTTGTTGCTCTACAATTTTCCGTCATGGAAAAAAGCAGCAACAACTAAAACTTCATTAACAACCATCACTGAAAATCTTCAGCCAACAGGCTAACCTACACATATTTGAACGACTTTGAAGTTTACGATTTTACCTACAAAACCGAAATTCAGCAAAATCCTTATTCTCGCGCGCTCATTCGATTCAGAGTTCAAATCGTTGCCTGGTTACAAAGACGTCATTCTGACGTGTACCTAACGAACATGAGGAGTGATGACGAGAACAAAGAGCGTCTATTCGTCATCATTTTTCGTTGGTCTTCTTGGGAGGGGTCGTTACTTCTTCTACGAGAAAACTTTGTGAAATTCTCCACCGCTTTCAAAGCAAGAAGTCATAAAAACATTTATCCACAATGGTAAGTTAAATTCCTCTGTAGCAGACATGTCATTGAAGTGGAACTGGTGTCAATTTCAGACGAGGAAAATAATCTGTGATTGATCACGAAACGACTTTAAATACGCTACTTTTGAGCAGTAGCCGCGTTCAAATTCAAAGGATTTTAAAATTAGTCCTAGACACTTAATTTTTATAAGTTTTATTTCTTCTTTAATCTTAGTGATTCGTTTAGTTTTCTTCATCATTTGTTTCTCGGTTGTGTTAGTAATCGTTTGTAAAGAAATAGCCCATTGTCCGACCGCGCGATCTCATTTTACGATCTGTAAGTTAGGGAGAGGTTTTGATGCTTTTTGTGTGACTCCTTTTTCGTTTCTTCGCAGCGTGAGTGTATCTCAGTTCACGTTGGACAGGCAGGAGTGCAGATTGGTAATGCTTGTTGGGAATTGTACTGCTTGGAGCATGGAATTCAGCCTGATGGCCAAATGCCGAGCGACAAGACCATTGGAGGCGGCGATGATTCTTTCAATACTTTCTTCAGCGAAACTGGAGCTGGAAAGCATGTTCCTCGCGCTGTCTTCGTCGATTTGGAACCAACGGTAGTCGGTATGTCCAGATATAAACCAACTTTGAAATTTTTCATTCACGATTTCATCGACAGAGTCATTAGTTTTCCTAAAAGTCGTCGTTTGCCCTACGTTTTGTATAAGCCAGCTTTCATCAGACGATGGAGACAGTCCTCCAATGCGAATTTGCTCTAACGACAGCGCCAAAAATCAAGAAACTCACTCAAAACTGTGTTTGGTGTGAAACAGGAAATATGTTTCAGGGATTTTGGCGTGTGAATGTGCAGTTTCTGTAGCACTTTCGTTTTTTACTTGGTATTCATATTTTTATTACGATTGTGGTTGCTATGGATTGGTGTCATGATTTCAGGATTTCACCATAATGGGAAAAATTATTATTCAAATTTCTAGCTATTATTTCAAAAGGAGTTGAATTTTGACGTTACTTCCAACTATAAGCGATAGATATTGAATTTACAACATAGATTGGGTGAGGAGAAATATATGGGCGGGTTATTTACACGAGGTCTATCCCAAAAAATTCGGTCTTACGTAAGCAGTGAACCTCAAGGATTCTCTATAAGATGGTTGATTCAATGGAATAAATGTCTTTTCACAACGATTCAATGGAATAAATGTCTTTTCACAAAAATGAATATTCAGATCGAAAGTTCGGCTATATTGTTGATGGCTTAGAAGTCCTTATAACGTGGTTTTGTTAAGGAGGCTCGAAAGGGTTTTTCGTTGTTGCAGTGTTTGTGAAACGATGGAAGATTACAAAGAAGGATATTTAATGGGGTGGGCAAACTATATGTCTCTTTGCAACTCTATTGCTGGGCTATACTTTGGGGGTACTTGTGACGTCATATCAGTTACCATGGCAACGCACAAGGTCCACAAAAACGTCCACTCAATTTTAGTTTTTGTAAATTATCTGAAAAACTAATTCGGTGACCTACCATTTTTATTTCTTTCAGACAGTATGGAAAAAATTTATCCAGTAGAATTAAATATTTAAAGAAAATGCGATTTATGGCTTACAGAAAATTCTACTGGATAATTTTTCCTGAATGGTGCGTGCACTCAAAAAATAAAGATAGGTCACCGAACAAAATCTCAAGCTAGAAACAAATGTATTTCGCAGATTTTATTTCTGGTTCGCACAATTTCAAGCAACATTTAGCTTCCGGTGTGCTGATTTTGATTCATTCAGCTGACACGTGCATCTTAGTTGTGGCGTGTGTAGATTGTGCACACGCGTGCATCTAAAAACCCTTTCCAGCCTCCTTAAACAACGGCTAAACTTTGTTTACATGACCAGCCCTATGTGTTTAGATAATTTCAGATAATTTACAAAAACTTAAATTAGTGGACGTTTTTGTGGACCTTGTGCGTTGCCATGGTAACTGATATGATGTCACAAGTACCCTCAGCAACAACGTGTAACAGTGTAACACTGCAACAACGAAAAACCCTTTCGAGCCTCCTTAAGTGCTTCCACACAGCTCAAGTATACTCGAGATGTATCAGTAGAAATTCCAGATGAGTAAAATATGATGATTTTTGTATTATATTAACAATATGTTTGCAGTAGGAAGTTTATTTATGGAATTCTCTATCGTGATCAAGTTGCAATGGTCATAAGCAAGCTATCAATTCCAATTTCGTCTTAACCCTTTAAATCCTTACATCAGTATGCATATTCTCCTAACTGTTCCCTATACATTTTCTCTTGTACTTACCAGGAGAATTTGTTCTTAGATGCTAATGATAAATCACTCTTAGGGGAAAAGGGTTAATATATTAACCAACTCCTCGTTGTGTTTCAGATGAGGTCCGCACTGGTACATACCGCCAGTTATTCCATCCTGAGCAGCTAATCACTGGCAAGGAAGATGCTGCCAACAACTATGCACGAGGCCATTACACCATTGGCAAGGAAATTATTGACCTTGTCCTTGACAGGATTCGCAAACTGGTAAGATTGCCTTTGTAAAACTGATCATCATAGATAATTGCGGCTAACAGTTGGCTCAAGCTGTTACTTTCATTCAGTAGGAGAGAGTAGACTGCTGATACACTCTTTGACTGGTTCGTGTTAAACGGGGAATGGTAGTTATAGATTTTATATCAAGTAAGTCTGGTTTTTAAAAAGGATTCCTGAAAACTATGTTATACTGTGACCATTGGATTTTTTCCCATATTATTAGAAGTATTTAATAACTTTACTTTTTTTTATAATAGCAAGCAGCAGCATTGGGTGATCCATTAATATTCTCGGTTACTCTAACCACGAGTAATCATTTTTTTCAGTTTATTTCATTTCGCTATTGGGCCTCTGATTATTTTCACTTGTAAAGTGGGTTTAGTCATAGTGAATGGATGTATTTTTGATGCTTTTCAGGCAGATCAGTGCACTGGCTTGCAAGGTTTCCTAATTTTCCATTCCTTTGGAGGTGGCACTGGCTCTGGGTTCACGTCACTGCTTATGGAACGGCTGTCAGTTGACTATGGCAAGAAGTCCAAGCTTGAATTTGCTATCTACCCTGCCCCACAGATCGCAACAGCTGTTGTGGAGCCTTACAACTCCATTCTTACCACCCATACCACACTTGAGCATTCTGACTGCGCTTTCATGGTGGACAACGAGGCCATATATGACATCTGCCGCCGGAACTTGGACATTGAGAGGCCCACTTATACCAATCTGAATCGACTAATTGGACAGATTGTGTCCTCAATCACGGCTTCTCTACGATTCGACGGTGCTCTAAATGTTGACTTGACAGAATTCCAGGTATAGGATAGTTTTTTTTTTGTGAAATGTTTCATTCTAATATTCAAGCGTGGGTGAATACGTATTTATTCCCAGGGTGTCAAGCTTACAGTGGTTTCTTAGAAACAAAAGTTTTGATCTATAATTTGTGGAACAATTGTTCTAAACTTTCCTGAAATGTTCCCTTCCAATGTCTGTTTTGAAAAGCACAGAAAAAAAGATAGATCATGGTGCTCGTTTAAAAGGTAAAATGGTCCAAACTTACCCAATTTATGCCTGTATTGGCACTAATCACGAGCGTCATGTCATCGGTTCACGGTACATTTTGCGGTGGTTGGAAGCGAGGGTTTTTTAAGTAAAATTAAAAAAACTTGACAGGTAGAAAGTATTGAGTGTATGGAACAGTTTGATCTATAATTTGTGGAAAAATCACGAAATTTAAAGGACATCGACTCGGAACGTTCCTCGAATCGTTGTTTTCAAGGTTATAATTTGCGTCATCAACTTCGTAAACATTTTTAGCTATCTCTTTCTGCCCCTCGATGAATCTTTTCTTAATTTCTCTTATTTAAAGGGGATAATTTGTACACCAAAACAATAAAGAAGTATATCTGGAAACTGAGTTTTTCACCCGTAAGAACGTAAGTCGATTCAATCACCGGTAAATATTCATCCTATTTTGGGAAGAATCACCATGTTGAGGAAAAATCCTTTCACGTTTTTCATGAGCAAGCCAGAAGTGATCATGCAACTGTATAGACTTATAAGTTACTTGAAATAAACTTCAGAAAATCTCTCTGGATTATTTTAGACCAACTTAGTGCCCTATCCACGAATTCACTTCCCTCTGGCGACATACGCACCTGTCATCTCTGCCGAAAAGGCCTACCATGAACAACTCAGTGTGGCTGAGATAACCAATGCCTGCTTTGAACCAGCCAATCAGATGGTGAAGTGCGACCCTCGTCATGGCAAGTACATGGCTTGCTGTCTGTTGTACAGGGGTGATGTTGTTCCTAAAGATGTTAACGCTGCCATTGCCACCATCAAGACCAAGAGGACCATTCAGTTTGTTGATTGGTGCCCAACTGGATTTAAGGTTGGGTTACATCTATTTGAGTGTAATCATTGTATAGGGCATCCAATGAGTCGATTGACAATCTCTTAAAATAAAAAGATATACCGTTTATGTAGATGAAAATCTTCAGGCTACAGACATGGGGCCTTATCAGAGAGAGGGGCTTTTAACGTCTTTGATTATCTTAACTAAAAAAATTCCTTTCAATTTGTCATGTTTAACCGTGAAAAATGGTCAATTCCCCTTTCTTCTATCTTTGTCCTGCTTTTGTTTTTTTTAAGAAATTACACAAGCATACTGCTAGACGAAAAAAGAACTTTGACTGGAAAGATTTTTCTTGCTAGGAGACTACCAATCCCTTGGTTCATCCCTAAGGGATGCTCTGTGACCATCTTCCCAGTGAGTATCTTCTCGATGTTTCTAGGTCGGCATCAATTATCAGCCACCCACAGTTGTACCAGGTGGTGACCTTGCTAAGGTGCAACGTGCTGTATGTATGTTGAGTAACACCACAGCTATTGCAGAGGCCTGGGCTCGTTTGGATCACAAGTTTGATCTGATGTATGCTAAGCGCGCATTTGTCCATTGGTATGTGGGCGAAGGAATGGAAGAAGGAGAGTTCTCTGAGGCCCGTGAAGATCTGGCTGCCTTGGAGAAAGACTATGAAGAAGTGGGCGTGGATTCTGTGGATGCTGAAGGCGAAGAGGAAGGAGAAGAGTACTAAACTGGCCTGACGTTCTATTTTTGATTTTTTTTATCCTTGGCTTGACACTTGAATAAAACTTTAAATTGTAGTTTCATTTTAGTGTACTGATAGGAGCGTAATTTTACATGGGAGGAGGGCATTAAGTCTTAATCTGATACGTACTTGCAAAGCAACAGCAGATTGAACTTGTGTTCTAAGTGTGAACCAGGCTTGAGCTTTACTTAGAAAGGAAATTAGTTTAGTTTTAACTGACTGGCGTTTGAATAGCATTCCGGTACAGCTTTACAAACAAGAGATTGTTGACTACCCTTTTTACAATCAATCAACCATTTTCGCAAGCCGTTCAAACGCGTCATGTTACCGGATACACCCTACTTTCACGACGATTGACCGTTGTTTTTAGTCTGCCAAAGTAGTCCCCACATATTAAATCGTGCGTCTCTTCTAACACAGCGATCAAACGAAAAGCATGCTCACTCAATTGGCTCACTGATTTTTCGTCAGCCGTGGCAGAAACAACCGCAGTTATACAAAATAGTCGAAAATGAATTGAAACGTCAGATTTTTTTTCCAACTAAGAGTACTCTGTTGAGTTACCGCTTTCTTCTGAGAGTTATTAACAAATGATACGGATTTAAATTATTTTGACTTTTTGATTTGGGCTTGTTATTGGATGTTATTATGAGACAGCTTTGTTCTGAGACCAGAAAGCGCTCTGTCTGGTTGCTCTTTAAGACACTTTAACTCATTTTATTTGCATATGCGCTGACGTTCAAACGCCGCGTTGCTTCTCTGGGAAAAATTGAGGCTGTGGAGTTTTGCTAAAATAGTTCGAAATTATAGGCAAATAATTTTGTAACTTACCTCGTAGTTTTCTATTTAAGTGGAGTTAGAAGTAATAGTCGCCTAACGATTCTCAATTGTTTCCCACCTTCACTGGGTCACAGCACTCACAAAAGGGAAATGATGAGCCACCCTTACAGCATTTATGCCAGTGCTGGATTAAGTTAAAAAAAAAAGTCAATCTGGTTCAGTCCTCTTGTAATCTTGCAAAACAGAGAAAACGGAGTGCAAAAGGTTTTTTTTTAACTTTATTTCATTTGCTTATTTCGTTCGAGTGTTATTTTCATCCCTGAGACGACTTAACATTAATTAACAGTTCTCTATGAGTTGTTTCCTCGCCATATGCCAGAGTGTTGCTTACTACACTAGCTGATTCTTGTTTCAATTTCTCGAGTCCATAATCTTTTTAATTGTGTATCATAGCTTCGTCGTTAGCATGGTTAGAGCAATTTTCAATTCGGGGTCGAAAGTGATTCGGAGTTGCTTTATTTTTTAATTTTGCTCTGCGATCGAAAAGCGCTCAAAGTGCTCTAGCGTATAATCCATGAAGAGATAAATCAACCAAAGGCGCATCTATGTAATAAACATTTTCAGTGGAATTATTTGTGTCTACAAGAACTTCTAATAGGTGTTCAAGACCGCTGTTCACTCTCAAATTACGGACTCCACCCTAACACACACACCATCTTTTGCTGACAAAGTAGCACCAGCATGTATGACTAAAGGAACTCGTGTCTCGGGTGACTGCACAAACTTGTATTTCACCAGAATCCTGACCAGGGCAACCTTGATTTCCAACAGAGCAAACCTCATTCCAATGCAGTTTCTTGGCCCTGCACCGAATGGTATGAACTGGAAGGCATGGCGAGCATCTTTGGATGGTCCACGGAACCTCTCCGGATCAAACTTTTCCGGCTCCTCCCAGGCATCTGGATCACGATGTATGGCGTATATTGGAATGATTATCTCCGTTCCAGCAGGAATGTGGATGCCATTGAGGTCATAATCTTCAGAACATTCCCTGTTGATTTGGGCAGCTGGCGGACATAATCGTTGAGCCTCTTTGATGACGCAGTCGAGGAACTCGATATTCTGGGCGACATCGTACAAAGGTTTCTTAGCGTTGGACTCGAGGGCCTCGCTAATCTCTTTCCTCAGCTTGTCTTGCACATCCGGGTTTACAGCCAGGAAATACAGGGTAAATGCCAACGTGTTGCTCGACGTTTCATATCCAGCTAAGAGGAAGACAATAGATTGTGCTACAATCTCTTCATCAGAAAGCCTGCTGATCCCTTCGACCGTGGTTTCATCATTAGCATTCATCATGAGTTGAAGCAGGTCTTTTCGTGCACTGGGCCCCTGCTGGCCACGGGACTTGATGATCTCTCTGACAACGCCTTCGAAATAACTCGGAGAAGTTCCTTTAAGCTGCATTAGCAGCCTCAGTAAATAATTGCCCAATGGAAGGCGAGCCATCTGTCGAATAATGTTTGGAACTTTAAAGATCGCTTTCGCTCTCTCCAGCATTTCGGTGTTCTCACCCAGTTGAATCTTTGCGTCCACGCCAAAGGCAGTCGACAAAATGACTTCGAGCGTCAGCTTACTAAACCAGTCAAGCATGTCTACAATCTCACCTGTTAAGAAAATTCACGAAAAAAAAATGAAAAGTGAGTAAGAGTGCTTTTCACGCGTATCTTAAGGCTAGAGAGTATCGAGTGTTGAAGCCGAATTTTTCACTCTGTTGAAGTTTTCTGGGCCGTATCAGTTGTAGACCGACAATCATTTTAAACTTTTGATGCAATAATTAAATGTACTTTCTACAGTAAAATGACGTTTCGTAGTGATAAGGATTGCGTGACTAGCTTTCGTAACGTCAGGCTGTTGGGCTTTGACGACTCTATTTTGTTATCTTACACTGTCGAAATCTCCTACCATTTGTCGTTTCCTAAGATCCTCGGTTTTTGACAATAATTTTAGATTTTATCTCGGTTAACCAGCTCGTGATTGAGGAGAATTTCTGTACAATTTCTGCAATACTCCGTCTCTCACCTGAATCAGCAATTTTCTCAAGTTTTTCCATGAGCGTATCGCACGACGTCTCGATCAACGGCACCATCAATTTCATCTTCCCAGCACTAAATGTAGGGGTCAGGGTGTTACGGATTCTCTTCCATGTGTCATCTCTTGCATTGAAAACGTTTCTGCTGACCGCAGGAGCTGGCTTCATGAATTCAAAGTGATTGCGGAAGTTTGGAAAATCCTTGATCATAATCTGTTTGAGTAACCCCGGATCTGCAACGACCAGTGACGGTTTTTCGCCCAAACAGATCGCGAACACTTTGCCGTACTTTTTCACGTAGTCAAGATGCATGAGTTGTATCCCCTCGTATTTTCTCGCTTCGAGAAAGTTGCCGATAAACGGAAGAGGTTTGGGACCAGGAACATTTAGCTTCTTGAGGTTTGCAAAGCCACGCGTTCCATACCAGTAAAGAAACAAAACTACAAGGAGCGAAATAGAGACGATGCTGGCAGGATGAGCAAATTCCTCCATTGGAAGAACTTGTTGAAGGACGTTCATCGTTCAGGTTCTCTTTCTGTTGAATGTTGCAGCGTTTTAGTGAGTCTAGAGTAAGAGAAGGGGAACTCGGCTAAATCTGTATTGTTCCTTTGTTTACAGAAATAGTCGACATCACGAACACTGAATTTTATGGCGTATGAATTTCACATCATTGCAGTCACGCCACAGTTCATTTGCAGTAAATAAAAAGGAATCAAGGTCTCTAGCTGGTAATAGCTTCAACTCACCTCGTATTGCTGCGACGACCAGAAACCGATTTGCGTGCACTGGAGCAACTAAGTGAGTTACAACTACAATAGCTTTTGAAATCGCAATTTATGTAAATTGACCGTATCGAATTGCCCAATGATAAGGTGAGTCTTGTTTCTTATATCTGACCTCGTCATCGGGTTGAAAGGGGTCATCGATATTTGTTATCAGTAGCATTGCTATTTATGTTTTGGGATACAAGAGTAACACTGCATGAATGACACTGCAAAAATTACGGAGAAGGCATTTGGTTTTTTCCTGTTTAAAATTGGGAACACTGTAATTTTCTGGGCGGTTACTATTTGCGTCCAAGAGCATAAAAGAGAACACAAAGAAACGCATGATCTATAATCTTTCCAATGAAATTTGTCACACTGTCATGTCAGATATAATAGTCACTTACGCTTGTGTGGCGTTTTTCCCCGTTTCATACCGCACATAAACTTCATTCGCAGCTTAGCAGAATATTGTTAAACAGATTGATCTGATTTTCGCATTAAATTGCAGGTTGAATGAAAAGAATAGAAAGAATCGATCGACGTAAGTGTGAGTGAGGTTCTTCATTAACATTTGAATATGACGTCGTCTGCAAGGTACGAAGTGGTACCTTATCATCTGGATCGTCAAGAGATCTATTAAGAGTGCAGATTAGAGCCTGTGGAAAAATTAAAACAGAAACTGTCCCTTCTACCTTCTTTCTTCACTGCAACTTGTTACACGGTGGCTCTGGCTAAAACTTGGTCGCAAAAAGGGGTAATGATTCGTACTTAAAGCACCTCGCCCCGAGATTTTGCCATTTACCACAAATTCTACCAGCTCTGTCGACCAAGCGAGACATACCGCGTCACTGTAACAAACACAATTAAAGTAAAAATGTATTTGATGAAATCATCTCCTAAAAGGTCAGACTATATTGATATTGATTCAAATTCCTGTCAAGATTGTGATGGCCTGGGCTAAATTCGTGAGTTCACACACAAAATTGCTTCTCGACTGAAGGAACACTGGAAAGCGGTCGAACATAAACAGCCGTACAAGCCTATACTAGCTGAACATTCTTTCCGCTTTGGCCACTTCATTTAAGTAGGAATCTTCCGAGATTTTATGCAAAAGTGCTAATTGGCGTAGCTAATGACTTTTGGAATCTTGAGAGATAAATATTTGCAAGAATCTAGTCAATCGTGACGAAAACATTTATTAGTTAACTACTCTCTAAACTTATCGCTAATGCACGAGAGTTTTTTAGCTCAAATTTTACATTTTTTTCAGCTGTTTGTCTACGGTATTCTCAGGGTTTGCGAGTATGTAAGAAATACAGTAACGTCTTCATAGTTTCCCTTCGTAAGATGCCATCTTTAGTCGTAATTGAACAACCCAATGATTCCAACATCTCCACAGCCGATAAGCTCAGCCGTGTTCTCCGCGCGCGACGAGACATGGAAGCAGGTGCGCGACATCCTGACGCCCTCGTTCAGCGCGAGAAAGATGAAATTAATTGTGCACGCCGTAGGATACACAGTGAATTAACGACTTTGAAAAGCATAAAATCCACTGCTCATGCTCAGAAATCTGCGTTGCTGTGGATCATCAAAGAGCATGGCTTTGGGGGGGTTATCAATTTTGTTGAGTATGGGCCGCTGGTCTCTCAGAACCCCCGTCCGATCATAATCTCTACTGTGGCCAATTTTAGAACCCATCTTAGTCACTTTTGATAGTACGGTAATGTTTTAACCGTGAACCTCTTCAAAGTTTCGAAAAATATACGACCCCATTTTAGTAACTCTACTGAAAAATCAACATCATTGTGGCCAATCTAGCCGTGAATTGCGTCCTCATTCAGTGGCATATCCCCATTAGCCCATGCGTCCCCCCTCCTGGGGATCATCCCAAAAGTCCTCTTTCCCCTCCAGACCGGCCCTAAGATAGGGTGACCTCTGAGGACGTTACTATAGTGTGAAAGTAAGCTGCCACTATTGTAGCGCAGCCGAAGCAATTCAAAACCGCACCTAGCGGAATGTGCATAGGTGGTCGGTTGTAAAGTTGAGATTTAAGACACTTTACAGGGGCGGAGCCAGCTTTTCGAATGGTGTGTCTTGTTTTTAATTTTTGTTTTAACATGTCCTTACTTATAATATATGAAGAGATAATCAACAAAATGTATATTTATGTCATAAACATTTCAGTGGAATTATTTGTGTATACAAGAACTTCTAATAGGTGTTCAAGACCGAGTGCAAAAGGTTGTTTTTTTAACTTTATTTCAGTTGCTTATTTCGTTCGAGTGTTATTTTCATCCCTGAGACGACTTAACATTAATTAAGAGTTCTCTATGAGTTGTTTCCTCGCCATATGCCAGAGTGTTGCTTACTACACTAGCTGATTCTTGTTTCAATTTCTCGAGTCCATAATCTTTTTAATTGTGTATCATAGCTTCGTCGTTAGCATGGTTAGAGAGTGATTTTCAATTCGGGGTCGAAAGTGATTCGGAGTTGCTTTATTTTTTCTTAATTTTGCTCTGCGATCGAAAAGCGCTCAAAATGCTCTAACGTATAATCCATGGAGAGATAAATCAACCATAGGCGCATCTATGTAATAAACATTTTCAGCGGAATTATTGGTGTATACAAGAACTTCTAATAGGTGTTCAAGACCGCTGTTCACTCTCAAATTACGGACTCTACCCTAACACACACACCATCTTTTGCTGACAAAGTAGCACCAGCATGTATGACTAAAGGAACTCGTGTCTCTGGTGACTGCACAAACTTGTATTTCACCAGAATCCTGACCAGGGCAACCTTGATTTCCAACAGAGCAAACCTCATTCCAATGCAGTTTCTTGGCCCTGCACCGAATGGTATGAACTGGAAGGCATGGCGAGCATCTTTGGATGGTCCACGGAACCTCTCCGGATCAAACTTTTCCGGCTCCTCCCAGGCATCTGGATCACGATGTATGGCATATATTGGAATGATTATCTCCGTTCCAGCAGGAATGTGGATGCCATTGAGGTCATAATCTTCAGAACATTCTCTGTTGATTTGGGCAGCTGGCGGACATAATCGTTGAGCCTCTTTGATGACGCAGTCGAGGAACTCGATATTCTGGGCGACATCGTACAAAGGTTTCTTAGCGTTAGACTCGAGGGCCTCGCTTATCTCTTTCCTCAGCTTGTCTTGCACATCCGGGTTTACAGCCAGGAAATACAGGGTAAATGCCAACGTGTTGCTCGACGTTTCATATCCAGCTAATAGGAAGACAATAGATTGTGCTACAATCTCTTCATCAGAAAGCCTGCTGACCCCTTCGACTGTGGTTTCATCATTAGCATTCATCATGAGTTGAAGCAGGTCTTTTCGCACACTGAGCCCTTGCTGGCGACGGGACTTGATGATCTCTCCGACAACGCCTTCAAAATAATTCGACTTAATTCCTGAAAGCCGCATTAACAGCCTAAGTAAATAGTTGCCAAACGGAAGGCGAGCCATCTGTCGAACAGTGTTTGGAACTTTAAAGATTGCTTTCGCTCTCTCCAGCATTTCGGTGTTCTCACCCAGTTGAATCTTTGCGTCCACGCCAAAGGCAGTCGACAAAATGACTTCGAGGGTCAGCTTACTAAACCAGTCAAGCATGTCTATAATCTCACCTGTTAAGAAAATTCACGGAAAAAAAATGAAAAGTGAGTAAGAGTGCTTTTCATGCGTATCTTATGGCTAGAGAGTATCGAGTGCTGAAGCCGAATTTCTCAACACCAAATCATCCGAAAAGTAAGTATGGTTCGCAGGCTAAAAGTAATCTAGAGTAAGAAAATAACAATTCGCAGGGCGATGGAATGAGAAAAAGTGCAAAAAAAGTGTTTAACAGGATCAAATTGTCTAATAGGAAGCTGAATGCGACCAGTTCAATCCGAAAAGTGCAACGCCCTAGCTTGGAATGTCAGAGTTAATAGTCTCCTCTATTGACTTTGGCTGTAAACATCTCGCTCAAGGCGATAGTGGTAAGATATGACGCAATCCTTGACCAGTCAGAGCGCGCACATCTTTGTAACCACCCGAGCAAGTACACCAAAAGAGAAAACTTTATCCAAAAAGAAAGTTTCACCGTATAGCTCCAAAGTGATTACCGGAGCATGAGGACCAATATCATTCGAATGTCCTGTAAAAGAAGCCTGGGCGCGTAGCTTGCAGTGCATGATGAGTATTAACCTTTTTACACGGCTAACGCTGTTGAAGTTTCCTGGGCCTTATCAGTTGCAGACCGACAATTATTTTAAAATGACTTTCGATGCAATAATAACATATACTTTCTACGGCAAGATGACGTTTCGCAGTGATAAGGATTGCGTGACTAGCTTTCGTGACGTTAGGCCAGGCTTTGACGAATCTATTTGCTATCAAACAATATCGTAATCTCCTACCGTTTGGCGTTTCTTAAGATATTCGATTTTTGCGAATAATTCTAGATTTTGTCTCAGTTAAACAGTTCATAATTGAGGAGAATTACAGTACAATTTCTGCAATACTCCATCTCTCACCTGAATCAGCAATTTTATCAAGTTTTTCCATTAGCGTATTACACGAAGTCTCGATTAGTGGCACCATCAATTTCATCTTCCCAGCACTAAATGTAGGGGTCAGGGTGTTACGGATTCTCTTCCATGTGTCATCTCTTGCATTCAAAACGTTTCTGCTGAACGCAGGAGTCGGCTTCATAAATTGAAAACGATTGCGAAAGTTTGGAAAATCCTTGATCATAATCTGTTTTAGTAACTCCGGATCTGCAACGACCAGCGAAGGTTTTTCGCCCAAACAGATGGCGTATACTTTGCCGTACCGTTTCATGTAGTCAACGTGCATGAGTTGTATTCCCTCGTATTTTCTCGCTTCGAGAAAGTTGCCGATAAACGGAACAGGTTTAGGACCAGGAACGTTAAGCTTCTTGAGGTTTGCAAAGCCGCGCGTTCCATACCAGTAAAGAAACAAAACTACAAGGAGCAAAATAGAGACGATGCTGGAAGGATGAGCGAGTTCCTCCATTGGAAGAATTTGGTGAAGGACGTTCATCGCTCAGGTTCTCTTTGTGTTAAATGTTGCAGCGTTTTAGTGAGTCTAGAATAAGAGAAGAGGAACTCAGCTAAATCTGTACTGTTCCTTTGTTTACAGAAATAGTCAACATCACGAACACTAAACTTCAATTTATTGCAGTCGAGCCACTGTTCATTCGCAGTAAATAAAATTGAATCACGGTCTCCAGCTGGTGATAGCTTCAACTCACCTCGTGTTCCTGCGACGACCAGAAACCGATGCACTGGGGCAACTAAGTGAATTACAATTACAATAACTTTTGAATAAGAATCGTTGCGAAATCGCAATTTATGTAAATTCACAGTGAAGTCAAATGGTCCAATGATAAGCTGAGTTGCGGAGTCAGTCTACGTGATTTGTTTATCCTATTGTTTCCTATATCTGATGTCGTCATCGGGGTCAAAAGGGGTCATCGATATTTATTACCAGTAGCGTTGCTATTTCTAATTTGGGAAACAAGAGTAACACTGCATGAATGACACTGCAAAAATTACGCATTTGATATTTTTCTTCTGTAAAATTGGGAACACCGTAATTTTGTGGGCGGTTACTATTTGCGTCAAAGAGAATAGAAGAGTGGAGCAAAGGGCACAAAGAGAAACGCGTGATCTATAACCTGACTAATGAAATTTTATCACTGTGTCATGTCAGATATAATAGTTACATTCGATTGTAAAGCGTTTTTCCCGTTTCATACCGCACATAAATTTCATTCGCAGCTCAGCACAATATTGCTATACGGATTGATCTGATTTTCGCATTAAACACAGCAGGCATATTCACTGCAGGCTGAATTAAAAGAAGAGAAAGAATGGATCGACGTAAGTGTGAATGACGTTCTTCAATAATATTTGAATATGGCGTCTTCTGCAAGTTATGAAGGGGTATCTTATCATCTGGATCGTCACGAGATCTAATAAAAGTGTAGATTGGTCTAAATGGGGCCTATAGAAAAATTATAGCAGAAACTGTCCCTTCTACCTTGTAGCATGGTGGGAGGTGACACCTCTAGCTAAAACTTGGTTGCAGAAAAAGGTTAGGATTCGTACTTAAAGCACCTCGCCCTGAGATTTCGCCATTTACCAAAAATACTACTAGCTCTGACTACCAAGCGAGACATACCGCGTCTCCACAACAAACATAATCTAAGTAAAAATGAATTTGATGAAATCATCTCCTAAAAGGTCAGACTATATTGATATTGATTCAATTCCCTATCGAGATTGTGATGGCATGATCGAAATTGGTGAGTCCACACTCAAAATTGCTTCTCGACTAAAGGAACACTAGAAAGTGGTGAAACATAAACAGCCGCGCAAGTCTATACTAGCTGAACATTCTTTCTTTGGCCTCTTAATTTCAGTAGGAATCTTCCGAGGTCTTAAACACAAGTGCTACTTGGCGTGGTTAATGACTTTTGGAATCTTGAGAAATAAATATTCGCAAGAATCCAATCAATCGTGAACAAAACATTTATTCGTTAACGACTATAAACTTATCGCTAAACAAGAGTTTTTTAGCTCAAATTTAATATTTTTTTCTTCAGCCGTTTTTCGACAGCTTTCCCAGGGTTTGAAATACAGCTAAGTCTTCATAGTTTCCCTTCGTAAGATACCATCTCTAGTCGCAGCAGATCAACCGAATGATTCCGACTTCTCCACAGCCGGTAAGCTCAGCCGTGTTCTTCGCGCACTAAGAGACGTGGAAGCAGATCCACAACATCCTGACACCCTCGTTTAGTGAGAAAGATGTTCAGTGAGAAAGAAATTAATAATGCACGCTGTAGGATACGGCATGCCTTAACGATTTTGAAAAGCATAAAATCCACTGCTCATGCTCAGAAATCTGCCAATTTATCGTGCGCATCAGTGGATCATCGAAGAATAGGGTGGGGGGGGGAGAGTTTTGTCAATTTTTTGCTGAGTATGGGCCGCTGGCCTCTCAGAAGCCCCGCCCGACCATAATCTCTAGTGTGGCCAATTTAAGAACCCATCTTAGTCACTTTTGACAGTGCGGTAACAACTTTTTGACCGTAAATCTCCTCAAAATTTCTAAAAATGTACGACCTCATTTTAGTAACTCTGTTAAAAAAACAACATCATTGTAGCCAATCAAGCCGCGAAATGCGTCCTCGTCTAGTGGCACATCACCATTAGCCCCTAGTGTCCCCCCTCCCGGGGATCATCCGAAAAGTCCTAAGATAGCGTGACCTCTGGGGACATTACTATAGTGTAAATTAAGCTGCCGAAGCAATTCAAACCGCACCTTACGGAATTTGCATAGGTTGTCTGTTGTAGAGTTGAGATTTAAGACACCCTCCAGGGGAGTAGTAGGTCCAAATTGCTTTTTTTGTTTACAATTTTTATTTTAACATGTCCAAGAGGTGTGTTATTAAAGTGGAGCGGGCGGAAAAAAATTGTACTACAGACTGTCTGGCCTACGGGCCCTAAAGGCTGGATACAATCCTGCTTTTCTCTGTCATCTCCCTGGGCTCGTATGCCTACTTTCTATGGTTCATCACACAATTTTGAAGAGTGCGTGACGCGCCAAAATATCGTCTGAGTAGGAAGTTATAAATGTACGCTTTTACGAGCCCTTCTTGTTTTCTTTCTTTTCCTTTCCCCCGCAATACAATTTCAGTGACAGTAATAATTTTCTCATAAAAATCTTCTCGTGGATTAGTGCAGATTTTCCTATCTGACCTGAATCAGCCACTTTATCAAGTTTTTCCACAAGCGTATCACACGAATTCACGATCAACGACACCACTAACTTCATCTTCCCAGCACTGAATGTGGGTGTCAGCGTCCTACGGATTCCGTTCCAGGTCTCATCTCTTGCAGCTGCGATGCTTCTGCTGAATCGGAGGTGTTCGTTTCACAAACTGGAAAGAATTGCGAAAGTTCGGAAAATCCTTGATCATAGTATGTTCAAGTAACTTCGGATCTGCTACAACTAGGGCTGGTTTTTCTCCCAGACAAATGGCGAAAACTTTACCGTACTTTTTAGTTTCATTTCGAGATACATGAGGTGCATTCCATTAAATTTCATTGTCTCAAAAAGTTCTCAATAAATGGAAGAGGTTTAGGACCAGGAATATTACGCTTCTTGAGGTTTGCAAGGCCTTGCATTCCGTGCCAATGGAAAAACAACAATTCGGGGAAAGAGATCCCTGCGATGGCGGCAGGATGAGCGAGTTCCTCAGATCCAAGGGCCTCTCGTAGCACATCCATCGTTCAGGTTCCCTTGTTTTGAATATCGCAGCGTTTGAGTAAGCCTGGAGTAAGAGAAGAGAAGTTCAGTTCAATCTGTGTCGTTGCTTCGTTTACAAAGAAAGCGGTGGTTTCGCACATTAAATTTTACTTCACGTAGTCACGACACGGTTCATAAGCAAGTACATAAAAATATACCACTGTCTATGAATGGCAATAGTGTTAATTCTCCTTTATATCACTCAAATGACTAATAACTGGTTTGCCAGCCCTGTAAATTTGGAGAATACCTCTGTAAGTGTAACTTATAGTGTGAGGCAAGAGAAATCGACCAAGAAACGAAAATGTTCCAGTGCCGCGAGAACCCTGGGAAGACGACGGGTTATCACATAATTCAAGTTTATTCTGGCTAGAAAGGGACTCTTTTGGGTGAAAATGGATGTAAAATATCGGCGAGGGTTCGTTATTCAGACCGTAGCATCGTGTTTGACTCTTCTCTCCCGTGTGAAGATTTTTCAGGGTCATGCAAATTCTACCTATTGTCAACCAAGCGTGACGGCTCGCATTGCTAGTGTAAACATTCCTCAGAAAAACTACGAAATGGGAATTACAAGCCAAACCTCCAGCATCTTGGATCCCTCCATCATCTTTTCCGTAGTGATTGCGTTGTTGCTAATTACCTACTGGTATGGTACTCGCGCTTTCTCGGTTCTGAGTCGATTGAATGTCCCCGGTCCAAAACCTCTGCCGTTTGTCGGCAATTTACTCGAAGTTCGCAAATATGGAAGCGTTCACTTGATGATGTCGGAGTATGTACGAAAATACGGCAAAGTCTTCGCTGTTTCTCTCGGTATGAAGCCATCTTTAGTCGTAGCAGATCCTGAAATGTTGAAAACGATCATGGTCAAAGAGTTTTCTGTGTTTCACAACCGCATGCTTCCAACTCCTCCACCGCCTATGAATTCAGCCGTGTTCTCCGCGCGCGACGAGACGTGGAAGCGGATCCGCAATATCCTGACGCCCTCGTTCAGCGCGCGAAAGATGAAACTGATGGTGCCACTGATAGAGGAATCGTGTGACGTACTGATGAAGAAACTAGAGGAAATAGCTGATACTGGCAAGTCATCATTATGTAAAATTTAAAATTACATTAAAAAAATGCATTATGTTGAAGCTCGGACATCTCGAAGCAATTCACTTTCCCACGGAATTTTTTTATGTTTACTTGGCTGAGGGGGGAGGGGGTGGGAAAGTCTCTTCTCATGTCCTGGCCTCCTGAATGTTGCCCTTTTGTTTATCTTTAGCCTGTGAGTAATATGTTCCCCCTTTACTTTACCTCGTTCCAAAGCGGGGGTGTCACAGGTAAAATGAATAGATGAGTAAGTTTGTAAGGAAATTGTGGTGTTGCGTCAGTGAAAGGTATGACAAAATAATTTGAGTTCATATAAATGTTAATCAGTCACCGTGAAAGTTTCTAGAGCTGACGTTTCCAGCGTCATCCCCTTCTCAGATCGAAGAGTTAAGGTGCTTGACGTAGTCGGGATGCTTGAGAGGCGAGGCTTTTGGTGATTCGGATTTCTCTGTTGTGCATCTTGGTTCTATTCTGCAAAGGTCCTCTTGTCTCGCCAATGTTAACGTCGATGTAAACTGTTTAATCCATATTTTGTTTTCATTCATCTCATCTTGAAACCTCGCTTATCAGGTAAAACAGTGAACATCATGGACTGGTTCAGCATGCTGACACTGGAAATTATCATCTCTACTGCTTTTGGTATCCAAGCCAATGTACAAACTGATCCAGATGAAACACTCCTGACAAAAGCAAGGCAATCCTTTCGATTCCCCTTTATTCTGCGTATTATAGGCCGTATGCCTCTCATCAGGACAATCCTGCGATTGGTTATGCGTCTGAAAGGAGGGATGGGATATTTTGGAAATATTGCTTTGGAGATGATCCGTCAGCGGCGAAGAGAAGGCGGCACCAGCCGACAGGATCTGATGCAACTCATGTTGACCGCCCATGAAGAGTCCACACTACAGGGTGACAGCAAACTAACAGATGAGGAAATCGTCGCGCAGTGCGTGGCTTTTTTATTGGCTGGTCACGAGACCTCAATGATCACTCTTTCTACCATAGCATACCACTTGGCGTTAAACCCAGAAGTTCAAGAGCAGTTGCGCAAAGCTATTTTCCAGTTCACTGAGGAAAATCCTGAAGCTTCCCTTTACGAGATGTCCCATAGTATCGAGTACTTAGACTGCGTCATCAACGAAACTCAACGACTAAGTCCTCCAGCACATCAGCTGAACCGTGAGTGCGGCCAAGATTTCCAAATCAAGGGTATCTCAATTCCCAGAGGTACGGAGATTATTATTCCTTTCTATGCCCTTCATCATGATCCCGAGGCATGGCCGGACCCGGAGAGGTTTGACCCCGGAAGATTTCAAAGCCCCGCTAGAGATACCCGTCATTCCTACCAGTACCTTCCGTTCGGTGCTGGGCCCCGGAATTGCATTGGAATGAGGTTTGCTCTGATGGAAATAAAGATCGCGATGGTGAAAATCCTGATGAAGTTCAAGTTTGAGCGGGCGCCCGAGACACAAGTTCCACTGGTTATGCACGCCGGTAACACTTTATCTCCTCGTGACGGGGTTCACCTAAGGATTGAGTCCATATAGAGACTTCTCTAGAAGTATTGCCACATTCCACCCGCAAGCCTTCCTTAGTTAGATATTTTAAAGCTTGCCTTAACACACGCAAAACCGGTTTTACTCTTTACTGCAAGTCCTTCCCAACCTTCACTCTTTTCATACTCGCCCCAGACCTCTCATCCGCGCGTCTGAATAACCAACGCCAGGAGCCTATTACTTATGGGCTCCTGCCAACGCGAAGTTAAAGAATTATGGATTGCTTAACGATTTAAGATAAGAATATTTTTCCTTTTTGATAATTAGCTCAGTATAATAGCTGTTCGTGCTTGAAGGCAGAGCTCTGTTGGATCAAAAAAAAATGAACGTCTCCCTCTGGCTTGGCCCGCGCACAGAGAGAACAAAGTCTGATGCGAAAGTGCGGGGAGAGCGCAAAATGTGACAGTCAAACTCGCCTTCCATTTTCTTCGAGCGTTTGACACACATGATAGACAATTTTGGCTAGTTTTTGTCTTTTCTAAACTTTCCGTAAACATCACCACCCAGCGGAGCTTTGCCTTCCTTCATAATCGTCTCTTTGCTTGGTTATGTTGCGTGACGATGCAATACGTGACCTCTTTCGAAGACCGGCCCGTCCCACGTCAACAGCGCTTTGCAGCTTGAATGCGTCATCTGTCAGGTTGATGACAGCTTTCTGACATGTCGAAAAGTATTATAGTATAGGACAGTGTAGAATTTCCCCAACATTCGAGGAGGCCTTCATTCCACTCAAGGTGACAAACACCGAACTTTGTCGCTAAAAGACTTAGTCTCGAGAGCAGAATTAGAACCTGGTGGCTTGAGAGAGAGATAAGGAAAGAAAAAAGCTTTCGTCAGGATGGGTGCCAGACTGTTGTGTTTGACTCTTGCTTGCGTATGCCTTCTTACAACGGCGGTGAGTAACTCTACGAATTCTTTTACCACCTCGTTGATTCGCCTTGTCTTCTCAGATGATTCTTAGAAACCAAGCATTATTATTATTATTATTAGAGACTAATAAAACGAAGTGTTTTTTCAGGGACACTTTTGCTTTGTAACCAAACAGGTTCTAAATTCTATTTGTCGCTTTCACGCTTTCTGCTTGCAAAGTAAACAATCCGCCATTGATTTTTGATTGAATGTAAATATTTACAGATGGTATCAATAACTTACTGATCTTTATTTGTCTTCAATTTTGCTTGAGTTTTTTACTGGAAAAACCATTTTACTATCCTCTATCTTGCTTAACTTCTCGTGTATCACTCATCAACGAAATTTCAAACTGACTGTATTAAAAGAGGAATGTGACTAAATCCATTATAATTTGGAAATACATGAAAAATTCCGAAGATGTCTTAGTTTCCTGACCTCTAGGAAAGATTATAAAAAACCCCCTTTCCGGTTTCTGCTAAACGAAACACTTGTACTTCACTTTACAACTGCGTTACATATTTCATTCCTAAAAAGTGTCATGTGGATGCAAAAAATAGTTTTAATAGATGGGAAAATTACTAAGAGTGCTGTCTCGAATTTCCTCTGAGAGTAGATCCCCTGGGTTTTTAGCCTTGAAACTAATCCCACATATTCGGGGTTTGATCTTTGGAGAGGCTTCGAAGAGGCTTTTGTTAAAAATTATAATAAAAAAATGCTGGAAAATCCATGTAATAAATAACAAAATACCGATTTTTAAGCCTTCCTTTGGAGATGATCAAAACTACTTTTGGTTTTACATCACGGGAATGGAAAGACCCAAGAATGGATTTTGTTAAAGGAAGGTGAAAACAGTCTGTCAAGAGCGCGGTGTAAAAGGAAGAAAAAAGACCGTAGCTACCTGTGATAATTTCACTTTTAGCCAGATGCGTTGTCACTGCGTCAATTATATTACTTTTGTTATTGTTTGTTCTCTTATTCCTGTTAACTTTCGATTACGCTTTATCTTTTTGTTCTTTTGCTTATCCGTTGACGAAACGAAGACCGCAGAACAGTCACCGGTCAAACCAAAGGGTAGGTATATTTGTGAGGAAAGATAGCTTTTGTGATGTGTTCTTTTTATCTGCCATATTTACGATGTCAAAAATCTCTCTTTCAGCTGCTAACAGTTCAGCTCGCGTGATTTAATAAGTAATTCTTCCTACTTGCAATAATTCATTTCGCTACATATTAGTTCAGTGGGCGTTTTTCTTGTGGGATAAAATTACGAAACTGTGAGGATATATCAAATATTCTTGAATTTTGTTGGGATTTTAGGAAGGAAAGAAATTGAATTTACTGTGTCAAGCACGCCCATTCAGCTGCGCATAGCCTATTTGCGTGTTAGTTTAATGTAACAAAGTGCAGTGTACGAAACAAACTGATAATGTGTATGAGCAATTCAGTTCTCGGTTAAGATAAAAAGATAAACAAAACAAAAAAAGTACCATATTGTACACATAGATTATGATTGTAATTGTTTTCTCTAGACGAAAGTTGATCTTCTTCAGCTGTCATTCACTCTTACATCTCTTCCAAGCAGCCCTTCATTTGCAGCCTTTTTTTCAATTGCTTAAGTGTACAGTCGCGGATTTTTCTAAAGTCAAAGACGACGTGCAGAAGTACGCCAAACATCCAAACCCCGGTTGTTCGAAGAACATATAACGCTATCCACCGAATAACTCTCTGTCTGGTTTATAACACAGTACGTTTTGATGACACCTATCCACTGGATAGCGATTTATCCGTTTAATAGCATTACCCGCCCTTTGAACTGCTGAGCCATCAACGCCTTTTGTGGTTTGTGCCCTCTTAGGAAATTTTTAATTTAGAGGAAATCCCCGGACTCTCATTTTTTTTTTTTTGGTTCTGTAAATCAAAAGTGTCTTTGTTATAGACTATCAATTATTTTTAGTATTCGACTGATCCAAAGAATCTGGGAGGGACTCAAAGCCTTGGGAGTGCTCGTTTCGAATTATAAATGACAACCTTTCCTAAAGAAGGTCAATGTTGGCGTTGCTCAAGCATAATCTGACAACTGTAAAGGCCGCGTCTTAAAAAAAACTGTCTTAATGTCGCTGGTTTACGATACATTAGTCAGACAGAAAGAATGTTAATTATTTTTTTTAGCCTCCCCTTGCTGCTGCGGCACAAGCGGCGAAGCCCTCAGATTCGAAACGGCGAACTAAGCGAGGTGTGAGAGGTCTGACGCGAGAAATGCCAAATCCCTCGCAGCAGATTCCTCGCAGACCTCTCTCTCGGGAACCTTCTCGCAGGCTTTCCATTGCTTCTGTTGGAACACAACGAATAACGTGTATCACCCATCAACACAACACATTTTTGCCGTCCATGGCTTCAGCTTGCGTAGTTTAATCTAGCGCTAAAAGACTAGTCACTATTTATCGCCTGGGGGGGTAGGGTCGGATGACTTTGGTTATATCACGACAAAATTTACCTGACCCCCCCTCATTTCCAGACAATTGGCATTCAATTTTGTATATTCCCATCTTCATACTCTATTGGTGGCGAATGAACCCCCCTCCCTTCCGTTCCCATGCAATTCTCAAAGTTTCCCCCCCCCCCGTCATAAATAGTGATTGGTTCCTAATTTGTGTCAGAATTACCTTGTCAAAGATTTTTTTTGTTCTAATATCCAAGCAATGGTCAACAGATTTCAATTTACACGAGTACCTTTTTTTTACCCCAAAGATCCTTGCCAAAGGGTTTTCTGCACTAAAGGACGTATGTGTGTTGTGAACGAGGACCGATCTACCACTTGTGTGTGTCCAGAATCTTGTCCTGAGGAGTATAATCCAGTCTGCAGTGTGTACCGAACGGAATTCAACAATAAGTGTGAACTGCACAAGTTTGCTTGTCGACTTGGCGTTATGGTTGGAATAGAACGACAGGGAAAGTGTGATGACGAAGGTTCGTTGTTGAAAAAATCAACCAGATATAGTGGCTATCAATACGTGACGAAATTGTCAAAAAAAATAAGTTTCTCAACCTGCTGGCGGGCCCTAATAATTAGCGCAACAGGACGCGCATTCCTCCGCCCGCGGGAATATTAGAGACAAGTCCCCTGAGTTGGGGAGAGGTTTTCTTGGGGTCTGGTCCTCATTATCAGTGCTACACCCTTTCCAGACCTCTTGCCTGGTCAAGACCTCACCCTGCTCGTAGGTAGTTGAAAATTCTCGTGATATTCACCATTCTTATCGAAACTTAAAAGTTGCGAGAGGAAAAGTCGAATGTCACGGTAAATAGATGATCACACCGAAAATTGAAAGAGCTTGTACTCAGTTTGGACCCACGAACGTACGCACTACGCAGTAACCATCAGTGATTATGTCTTCTTGCGTTTCGAAACAGCATATCTGTCTTTAATTTATACCTCACCAGAATCCGTATAGGCAAATTCATATTCAGCCAAATGCATTGTACAACCTGAGGCCTTTTTGCTTCAAAAAACAACAAAGGTTATCAGATGTCCTTTTTGATCTGATGGTGATGTTGGTGACCAAAACGAACTGTTTCAATTCAAAAGAAGGCAGGAACTTCACCCTTGTTCTCCCGATACGATGAAACTTTCCCTAGCGTTACATAGCGGTGATTTATTTCCTGAACAATACCAAATGGGAGCAAAGATAAAATATTCGGGACCGGGGCTGCTCCCCGCCCCCTTTGCTCCGGTGGTGGTGGGGTTGGGGCTATTTCCGAACCTATTTTTCCGTCTTCTTACCTACTTGATTTTCTTTTTTCTTGATTAACTTTCTGGACATTTTTAGGAGACAAATGGAAGTGGGGGCCGTGCTCAGCCTCCAGTCTTCAGCAGTTCCATGATCGATATCTCGAATATCTAATGTTTGCACGAGAGAAGGAGTTGGATCCAGATTTCCCACTTGAGTCGAAAAGATTGGAATCATTGACATATGAGGAACGGAAAGCAATTATAGAGGTAAATGGATATCACTCCCTTGCAAGATACCTGTCTTATTCATCTAACAGATATTTTCTAATCGCTCTCTAACAAACAGATTCTAGTTAGCTGACGCACGGGCCTAGCCGCGCTTAGTCACCGCGTCACGACTACGAGCCAAGTATATTCCCTTTCAGTCCTCACACTAAGTCAAAAAGTTCATATTCTGGCACTACCCTCGCCATTACGTATGGCCCTCATACGGGGATTCTTGTCTATTTTTTTTTTAATCTAAAAGCGCACGTAGGATCATTTGGTAATCTCTCTTCTATTTTCTTTTGTAGTGGGAATTTTATGGTATGGACAAGAACCACAATGACATTCTCGACAAAGACGAAATCAAATTAATGATCGACCCGAACGAAGACTGCATGATCGGATTTATGAAGTCATGTGACTATGATCACAAACCGGGAATCAGCAGAAAGGAATGGAACGAATGCTTTCCGCCAATCAGTCCTGGTGAGTAGGTAACATACCAGTGGAAAAATTACGGGAAAAGCGAGAGACATATTAAGGAAAAGCGCTGTAAATGCGCGGGAAAAACGCGAGAGGGGCGTTAGGAAAAGCCAGCGGAAAGTGGCTTGAGAGATACTACTGCAGTACGCTTTGAATCATTATTAAGCATAGTAGACGGACTAAGACACCAATTTTTTTTTCGCTCGCTTAACTTTTCGTACTTCACTATTGTCAAGTTGGCAGCGGGCTGTCGTCCTTCAGCAGAGATGCCAACCTCTGGAGATCTCAAATCTGGAGATTTTTTTTCGGACCAGCCCCCCTCCCGGGAGACTTATTTTTTTTATTTGGACCCCCTAACCCCCCCCATGAGCAATTTCGCGGGAAAAATGTGGATCTATCTGTCAAGGACCTCAATTGGTTGAATACTCATCCAATCAGACTCTCTTATAAAGGAGTAACAAGGAAGAAACTCTCTTATTTTTGTTTGCAACGAACAACGCGCATCACGCAAGAAATTGAAGCCAGAAACTATAATACAAGCAGAAAAAGCGAGATGAGAAAGCGAGATGATTTTGGAATTTTGGAACATATGGAGCTTGAATCTTAGTTTTTTGTGGGCAACTGATCCAAACTTCCTTTTATCCGGGAGTTTTGGTCACCCGTACAGGAGAGCGGGAGATTGGCTTTGTATCTAGGAGAGTTGGCATATATGCTATTGCTCGCCTGAAATATCGAGTAATTACTTGCAAAATCGAAGATTATCGATTCGCAGCTTTGGTCCCAGGCTCTCTCTTGCCCCAGCCCCATTGAACGGGTAGTGAGAAGAGCGACCCTGGGAATGAGGTTAGCATTACCATTTCAAAACTAAAAACGTAATTATTTATTATTCAATAAATAAAAAGTGAAAAAAAGTAAAAATGTGAGGTTCCCTTGGAAACGTATGAATAGGGAACATCTTTATTTTACCTTGGAAGCTGCATTTATACATTAACGCCTACCTAAATTATCAATTAAACTTTTTTTCGGTGTTCTTTGTTTCCTTGTCTTAACAGAAGTGAACCAAGACGCTATGGACTTCAAATGAAAGAAGCAACAAATGTCAGAAGGAGCCTTTAAAATACTTGATATCGTTTTTATTTCCTCAGATGTCAGTTCTAGTTCATTTGTAAAACCTCGTTATTCAAGAATGCTTTGATTAAAATTTTCCTTAACGCTTCATACAATTATTTCAATTTCTTCCTTCCGCAACTTTGGGAACCCTCAAAACCTGCCTGGAGTAGAAACCCATTTAAACTGAGTCCTCTATTGATTCATTTAAAAAAAAAAACTGAAAATAAAAAAGAGCGAATCTAAACGCCCCAGCCTTGTTTACACACAATCATTCAACCACACCCATTTGCTGATGAGAGCGCGCTCTATCCCAGTTACTTGAAAATAGAATGATAACATACCACTTGCTAACCTCGTGTTGTCGGTCTTCACTGTAAGTCGCAGATCAAGTTTTTTCTACTCCGATTTATGGCCCAAACGCAAAGCGTGCGGGCTATAAATCCGATAGGAAAAATGAGGTTTCGTAACTTAACAGTAACGACCGAGAAAATGAGGTTGGTTGGGGAAGATTTCATCTCAAACAAGTCAAACAAACTTTTGAATTTAGCGGGCCGTAAAGTGAGATACAGCCTGCTAAAATTGACCAGTCATGGAACACGTACCAACTGGGAAAACAAAGCTTCAAGCAACAGGCGCCTTTGTTGAAATGAATCGCCCTCGCCAATTTTCTTGCCTGTTACGCTTCAGTATGATAAGTTAGTCGAACTGGAAAGGGAGAAAGTGCTTCACACTAGTATAACAATTAGAATATTCCGGAACCTCGTTGGCATCAATGAGAGATATCTCATCGCTGTACACATTCAAAGAGCGGAATCTACTCGACTGCGGTGTTTGTGTAAGTTTCCACGGTGCAGCTGATGCAGCGAGAGGGACGTGTTGAAAATTTATTCGTAGTCTCGTTTGGCGACAAAAATTGACACCTACTTTGCTCTTGCTTTTTCTATGGTAAGTTTTGCTTTCGTTACACACTTTGAAGTTACACTTGGGGAAGGCCTGGGCAGAGAAGAGTGAGCCGCGCTAGGGCATGGGGCGAGAGCGAATTCTTTGTTCAAAGAGAAAATGGCGGCAGGTAGTGAGAGCAACTGTTTTTTCTTTTACCTCTTTTTCTTTTCTGTTTTGCGCATCACATCGGCTCTAAGATGCGAGGGTAAGTAGCACATGTTATCTTCAGTCCATTTAATGTCTATTTTGCTGTGAATCCTAAATTCTGTCTGAAGTGCTTTGATTGATTGACAAGTTTGCGCCAGTAATTTACACATGTATCGCATCTTTGCGCGTTTCTGGGGTAACGGTGATCTTCGGATCATGATATTTGACTGCTTGTTCTTTATTACATGGCCGGTTTTTTACATTTGTTTCTCGATCTGATCAAACTTGCCCTGTTACGGTGACTACGGTGGCACGTGCGTAGACAATGATGTAAGCCGGAAGGTGAAGGCGTCATTGGGGATAAACAGCAATTAGATTCTAGATTTCTGTATTCTGTATGACCAGTAGCATAATCACTATGTACATTTGTGTAACACCAGGCCATTTCAGCAAAATTTCCCAACTACCCTCAAAATGCTATTTAATTATTGCATATCAACAGAATAACACATTTTAAAATCATGTTCATATCTATTTGCATTTTTATTTCTGTTTTATTGTGCTTTGTTCTCGCTTGAGAGGCAACAAAGTGTGTCTTCAATTTGTTGTTGAGAAATCAAATGTAACACAACAAGACATCATCGTACTTTGGACCTCGTGGTTTCCTCATTAAAACCGCTGAAATTCATGAAAACACCCCCCCCCCCCACCCCCGCAAACAACCAGGGGAGGTTACAAAGTCTTCCAGTACGGTTTCAAACAAGAAACAAAAGCAAGATTGCTTAAGGAGGCTTGAAAGGGTTTTTCGTTGTAGCAGTGTTTGTGAATCGATGGAAGATTACAAAGAAGGATATTTAATGGGGTGGGCAAACTATATGTCTCCTTGTAACTCTATTGCTGGGCTATACTTTGAGGGTACTTGTGACATCATGTCAGTTACCATGGCAATGCACAATGCACAATGTCCACAAAAATGTCCACTAAATTTTAGTTTTTGTAAATTATCTGAAAAACTAATTCAGTGACCTACCATTTTTATTTCTTTGTTTGAAAGTTCCCTAAATTCTTTAACTTTTCAGACAGTATGGAAAAAATTTATCTAGTAGAATTAAAAATATTTAAAGAAAATGTGATTTATGGCTTACAGAAAATTCTACTAGATAATTTTTCCTGAAACTTTTATATTTGATGTGCCATAGTGAATGGTGTGTGCATGCGAAAAAGTCAAGATAGGTCACTGAACAAAATTTCGAGCTAGAAAGAAATGTATTTCGCAGATTTTATTTCTGGTTTGTGCAATTTCAAGCAACATTTCACTTCCGGTGTGCTGATTTTGATTCATTCAGCTGACGCGTGCATCTTAGTTGTGGTGCGTGCATCTAAAAACCCCTTTGAGCCTCCTTAAATTATGGCCTGACTTGGTTCATGTTTGATTCCTTTTGCGCTTGTAATTCGATTGCTGTGCTTTGAATTGCACAAGGCAAGACAACCAGAATGTTTCTGAAACGAGTTATACTCATTTGTGCAACGTCTGATACCCAGAACTCTGAGTTTTTTCGGCAAAATAGTAGCATTGGTGAATGAACTTTCGTGTTACAATGTTTAAGTTGTCAAGATTCAGTGGCAGCCAAGATATGAGTTGAAATGTATGTGTGAATCGCTGAATTTCAATCCATTGTTCTGCGTAATAAATGTGTTTCCGAAATAATAAACTGCCTATTACTCAGCTGCTTTTGAGCTTTAATGGCATATTATTTGACAATTTGGTACTGACGATGATGTACTTTTCTTTGAACTAGCTAATCTCTTAACTAGACTTTCGTTTATATTTACAAATTCGCTTAGTTTTATTTTGTGGTACTTAAACGGAGGAGTGCGTACATAATCCCACAACACAAACCCAGCCATGAAATTTTTGCCTTGCTCCTTCAAAAATCAACAGTTTAGACTGAAATTTCGGCAATAACCAGGTAAAACAAATACCTTCAAGTGGGTATGATTTTACTTATTCAATGGAATATTGCTATAAACATATTTTACTTTTTCTAGCAATATATGCAAATGAGATGTCACACACTACATGCATATTTGAGGGAAATTTGCCTTATTTTTGGGAATACCTCACTTTTAATTAGTAGGAATTTTTTTTTTCAGGTGATATCTAATAATTCAACATCTTTACATCTAACTGCGAAATTATATTGTAATCCATTCAATATTTTAGTGCAGAGTAGAAATTTTACTTGAGTGACCTCAAATGTACATGGTGATTGTGCTACAGGTCTATATGATTTCTGTGATGCACAATGTTTGATTGTATTTCAGGCCAGCACATTGTTGAAGTTTCTGAGGGGTGGAATGACCGATAAGCATGGTTAGGTTCCAATCGAATTCAAACTCACACTGTTCAAATCAGTGATAAATTAATTTACCATTGCACCACAAAATTTCTAAGATAACCCTGTAAGCTGCTTCACCTTAACTGCAATGTTGAAGACTCACAAGCTTTAATGGTCAAAGAAAATTATTTGCCTTTGCCTTTATATTCAGTGATTAGCTACCATGCTATTTTACTTTTTTACTTGTCTGGCACTGATGAATTGAATTGTACATTTTCAACAGATATCTCGGTTCCAAATCTCTCAAGAGACTGGCATTTTTCACTGAGACCCAAGGATAATTCCATCATTGCGGTGTGTGTGCATGGTGGGAGCTGTGTTTGGGCAAGTGTTAAAGTCATGGTTTGGGGTGCAGTTCTTAGGTTGTTTGTGTACATCATTTGGTTGAATGCTACATGTTTATATACTTGGCCTTTTTACTGGGCAATATGTTAAAGTCATGCTCAAATTTGAAAAAACAGAGGTGCAGTTCTATGAGGCTGAAAGGTGACTTCAGATTTTGTGTACATCATTTGGTTGAATGTTACATGTTTATATACTTGGCCTATTTTACTGTGTTTTGGTATGACTATATATGATAAAAGTACTTGAAGTATAGAAAAAAATGAATCTGAAACAAAACCAAAATTGAACCACAACATGCAAAAAAATTATAAAGGGGGGTAAGTATCTAAAGAAACTGTGCTTCTGTGCTGGAAGAGGGGGTATAACACAATAATTTGGTCTTATGAAATTTCTATTCATTCATACCTAGTTTAATTTGTTTCTCAGCTGCTCAGCCTTAAATCCAGCAAATAAGTCCTGGGCATCAGTGTTTCAGTCATTTGTCACTTCAAGGAATGTTTTGGATCAAATCATGTTCAGTTACTCGCCATTTAAGACGTCATGCCTTGCAGTTGATTTAATTAAAGAGAGGCAATCTGTGAGAGTGGAGGCTTCACTTCGAGGTTGATTGAAATAAATTATCATTTTTTATTATCTTCTGTATCTCAGTAGTCTCTGATCAGATTACTTAGCCATTAGAATCCTGGTATTGATTCACATGCAGCTTCTTACCATTCCAATATGCTATCTTGCAAACAGGTTATGAGAACAAAGAGGCTTATTAGCAAGAGGGTCTTGTCTTGATTTAAGACCAAGTTCATTGGGCTAAATTATGTGGCAGTAAATTGTATGACAGTTTAACCCTTTAACTCCCATGAGTGACCAAGACAGAATTTCTCCTTACAATATTAATATGATATCAGCCAGATAAGTGATGAGAATAAAGAAAAGTATCAATTTGGAGATAATTAGTTGATCCAATACTAAATTCTCTGAACTAACATAAGAATTGTATGATTGACAGTGAGGAGAATTACAAATTTGATCTTGGAGTTAAAGGGTTAAGACCAAATTCACTGGGCTAAATTACTTGGCAGTAAATTGTATGACAGTTAAATGGGAGAATTGCTAACCCCTTGTTAATTATTCATTCAATTAGGTCCTTTTCTAATTATTATTAAGCTGAACTCTGCATTAACTCAACATCCAGACACTTCATCAAACTTTAAATCATAATTTTTGAATGTAATTCTTGGTTTGAGTATTGAGAAATGAGGTTTAGAACCAATAACTTATTTCAAAATCTATATATCTTATTAGACATTTTGGTGTATAGTATTGCTGAGTATTTTAACAAGATGTGCAGCATTTTTAGTGGCCCTCAAGGGCAAGTAAAAAATACAAACAAAGAGTAATGTTTTGTATGTATTATCCAACTGCTTTATTTGATATAAATTTCTTATAAGGGAGTAAGGGGGGGGGGGACTGCAAAGCAGATAGAAAAGTGTAGCACATGCAGGTGACAAACTTCATACTATCCTATACTTCATTCTGTGAAATTGATACCTGTATGCAAATGGTTTTTGTTCTTTCAGCTATTGACTGGTATTTCCCAGTAACTTTCCTGGCAGGGCTTGTGATATTTTACAACGCAGAAAGACTTAGTAGGTATATTAATCCTCAAAACCCTTACAATTTGCAGTGATAGAGCAATTTTCTCACAGAGTAAACTTAATGTCAAATTCCTTGGGAGACCTAACTGATGTGCATGTTACTACAGTAACTGTTGAAATATATATTGATAAACATATTGCTATTGGCATTATAGTCATGTATATGTTTTGGTTTTATCTTCACTAGGAATGCTTTGTTTTTTTACTCGTCGGGAGTGTCGCTTGGTGTCATTGCTTCCCTGTTGATTTTGGTTTATATTCTGCACAGACTTGTCCCAGGGGTAAGAACCTAGTAGTTATAACCTACAGTGAAGCTAACATTATTATAAAGCGTGTGATAGTTCCCTTCTCCAGGGGCTTTTTAATGTTCATGGCTTCCTGGAAGGGGTCCCTTCAATAAAAACCTCTGATAGTCATTGAGAATCAACATGTGAATCACAAGTTTTCTTCTGAACTAGCACCAGCTTTTATTAATAAAGTATGCTTTTAGCTGGCTGAAAACCTGAAAGCTTGCGATATTTTTATCACAGTGGTGAACAAACATAAAACACATGCCAATCGATAGTATAGCATAACCATAACCAGTATCATCTTTTAATCAAACTTTTGGGTCACTTGCATTTTCCTGCCCTTCAAACTGTTTGCTTATTTTTACTTCATCTTCCTGTAATCTTTTTACTTTTCTGTGATTGGCTGTTGTGATTACTCTGGTGTTGGTTTTACGACACTCAATTGAAATGAGCTCTGAATAACTTTAATGATAGTTAAATGAATAAAGGGGGTAAGTTTCTTAGGAAACTGTGGTGCTGCATCAGTGGGAGAGTATAACAGGGTAATTTAGTGTTATCAACTGAGTTGATAATGTAAACTGGCCACCGTAAGGAGTTTAAAAGCTGATGTTTTAATCACTGTGATGAAGGGCTAATGCTCAGAACTTCAGGTTTTAAATTCTTTACGGTGGTGAATTTACGTTATCAACTCAGTTGACAATACTAAATTACCCTTAAACCCTTTAACTCCTAAGAGTGATTGGCATCAAATTTCTCCTTACCATATCACCCCTGAATCAAACATTTAGGTTAGGAGAATAAAGGAATTGATCACCAACTGTAGAAGCTCTTGATTGTAAGACAAATTCCCCTTTTCAACACCATAGGAAATGTTTAGAGAACAGTATGGAGAATATGCATACTGATGTAGAGGGTTAATGATAATTAGCCTTTAAAGTGGGAGTAACAGGACGGAATCCCGAAAGTCAGACTTCACTCAGTGTACTGTTTGTGGTTTTGTCATTGTGATGGGTTGTGTTTATTGTATCATTTGCTCTGCATATATAAATATATATATATATATATACATACATCTATATACATATACACATATACATATATATATATATACATACATACATATATACATATATATATATATATATATATATATATATACAATATATATATATATATACATATATGGGGGAGAGAGAGAGATAAAAAAAATGCAGGATGATTCTCTGTTAATAAAAAACGTTTCTCTGAGTTTATATATATATATATATATATATATATATTCTGTCTGACTGTCTGACTGTCTGTCTGAAACTCAGAGTAACAGAGAATCGATGCGTATATATATATATACATATATATACATACATATATATATACATGTATATACACACATATATATATATATATATATATATATATATATATATATATATATATATATTTATATATTTATATTTATAGATGTCTCTTTAGATAGTCGCAAATTGAATATTCTTTCATGAACCTTTTTTTTATTTTTTTTCCCCATCTCATACATGTATGTCCAGAGAGGAAGTGCCTATGCTATCTTGTTAGGAGGTTGGAGTTTTGCTGCCTACCTTATCCAATTCACATGTGGTCACTTGAAGGAGCTCATGGTCAACCAATATCAGTGGGTCATTGGATATCTTGTGGTAGTAGGTGGGTTTTTGGGGTCAAAGATGGGTTCTCAAGCCCGTGGTTTACATATGATAGTCTGGATCGTTCCAATCGCACCGATCGTAGTGATCTGGGTGATCACCAGGCTAAGGAAAAACCTGAGTGCTAACCAGATGATTATGGTTGACCTGCTCATTCGGGTCGTTGATAATTCAGGGGATCATATGAAACGCATGCCTGGATAAGTTCCGATTTATGTAGACTGCTAAGCTCCTGTGGGAGAATGACTTGGTCTTGAAAGTCGCGGAAATCGTTTGTACGCCTTTTAGAGAATTTATTTGACTTGGGCAGAAGTTGTTAAAAAGATAAGAAAGTTTTCAATTCTGCCTACAAGGCTGATTCGTTCGACTGCTGAAGGTAATCTGTGCTTTTTCAGTATGGGCATTGCTACTCTTCCTGAACTGAATGCCGCCCATTGATGGTAACCTCCCCCCCCCCCTCCCCCTGTAACCTTCCCTTTAGCTTTTTTTTCAGTTACCCATGAGAATTTGCGGGTTTTTCATATATACTCCTGTGTGCAAGCACTGTGCGAGTGGAGAAAATTGTGCAAAATACAACACAATGACCTGGAGAGAACTTGAACCTGGTCCTTTTCTTACGAGGTCATCCGCGCAAACAACTGTAGTACCTCGTCACCAGGCTCCTTTTGATTAAGTATTGCTCATCTTAAGGTTGTCGATCTGAATTTCAATGTTTTCTTATTTCTTGGTTTGAGCTAACCTTTTTGTCGTGGTTATCATTTTTCAGGTACAATCAGCTTCTGTGTTTGTTATTATCGCGGTCCCGTGACAAGTGACCGGGGATTGGACCTTATACGCTGGATGTTGCAATTCATCGGACTGACACTACTATATATGGGTACTCGGTCGGACGTGGTTTCTTTTGGACTGATAACAGTGGTGTTGTTTTCACATGTTATTCGCAGTAGCGGTATTCTCATGAAGATATTTCCAAAAACTTGGTAGGTCTGCAATGGGGTAGAAGTGAGAAACTTGTGTTTAACAGACACGTGATTAAATTTGCTTCGGTTTTGCGCTTTTTAGCTATAAAAGGGTTAATCGACCGACTGCTGATTAGCAAAGACCAAGATATTATAGTCACTAGCAAAGACAGAGGACATATTTCCTCTGTTGGGGAAGAATTACCAGATGGTGTTGTTGCTAAATAGCTAAGCGCTCGCTGTCAGTTCTCACTTGGTTGAAAAGATTTTGGATAGAAAAAAAAAAGAAGTGCAGAGGCGAGAGGCCTCTAAGATTGATCCAATTGAGGTAATTTCATTAAAAAAAATTAAAGGAAATAGACTTGCATGTACAAGGTGAAATGTATGGAAAGCGGATAAAAGAAATCAAAGACGAACGTAAATAGAATTGTCCATCATGACCAGCCTAAATAGGGTGTCTAGACTCGCCTCAGTCTGGATGCCATGGGAAGATATGTTGTTTCACTTTATCGCTGGCAGCGTCCGTGGGCAACATGAGGCGAATCCTGCGAGTCCCTTTTTTATTTGACAAAATGTGATGACACCATGCCCATGAGCCTATATTTATGCTTGACCTTTGATTTGAATTTTAAGTTTTTTTCTGTAGGATTTCCTACAGAGTTTATTACTTCTTCTTTCCACCCAAACACAAGTTTCTATCACTGGAGGAGTATACCTTAGAAGGGGCGGAGGAAACAAGCAGAGCTTTAGAAGATCTTCGAGAATATTGCAAGAGTCCTGAGTGTGATACTTGGCGAGTGGTGAGTCGACTGAAGCATCCAGCAAGGTATGACGTGTACAGTTACTTACTAAGTGTGCTGAGGACAACACGAGGATAAAATATGTGATATTGTATAATTCTTTTTGTCTGTTTGTCGAGTTGACTGTTTTTCTTTGTCTTTCTGTCTGTCTGTTGAGCTGTCCGTCTGTTCATCGTAAGAAAGTCTTGAACCATAGATACTGCATTTCAGCTTCAACAGCAACTAAACATGTTAGCGTATTTTAAAAATCATGAACGTCTATGATTGTCTCGTTCTTGTAAATAGTTGAGGTATAATGGTTTGATTTTCAAAGTTATGGATGGGATTGTGCTCTAAAGTATTTGTTTCTATAAAGGTTTCCTTATGTAAAAGGTAGGGGCGTATGCGAAAATGGCGAGAGTTTTCCAGTATGGTTATTGATAAGTTTAGCTGCCTACTTTGCTAAGTCCAAATTCACGGTGTTTCAACTCGAAGAAAGGAGGAAAATACATGATTATGGAGCTACGTTTGTTCCTTTGCATTAGTTTGTGTTGCGATTGAATGTCGTAAAAAAAGTACAGTCTAGATAATCACAATAGCCAGTTGAATCAACGAGAATATTGCGAGGATCCAATGAAAATTTAAGCATGGGGAAGTGCGCGTTTCAGTTGTGCATCTGACTGGTTGAGAGAGTAATGCGATGTTTATAGGCCAGTGTGTCACAGAGGGTTGTGGAGCAAAAGCGATGCTAGTACGGTTTACTGTATTTTCTACACTCTCCTAAAATTGCTGTTAGGTAATGAAAGCTGGATCAAGAAATGGTTGACCGCCCATGAAGCACTCGCCATTTTAGTATATCCTACCTTAGTGGGTCAGCTTCTCTCGAAAGAGTTTTCATCAAATCCTTACTGTCGAATGTCGAAAAGTGACTTCGTAGAAAGAACACAGAAACTATTAACTTGCGTTATCGTCGGCAAGGTCGACTGTTCGATTACGGATTTTAAAATGCGATAATGCTAAAATTTAAACTGGGATATCGATGGCAAAAATCACTGTCTCCGTGGGTCAGGCTAATTGCCTCAATATGACCACTGTTTGGAAATCCACGTTGACAACTCGCACGTCATGTTTTAGATTTGCTTCATTCGTGGCAAGCGGACAGCATTTTCTAGAAGAAGAAGTCAAGAAATACGAGGATGATCCATCGGCATGGATGACGTCAGAAAGTGATGGAAGTGACGGAGAACCTGATGACCGTATTGATTAACGCTCGTAACCGTTCAACGCCAAGAAGCAGCAACAGACCTCCACGTCCTGGACTCATTTTCCATAAGCGGACGGTGTCAATGAGTCATCGTCTGCGCAAGGTCCTTTTGGCACTACAGCTGGCATGCAATTGCCAATTTGGAGGTACCCGGTCTGTGCGGAGACTGTGAACTTTTGTGGTTAACTACTGTAGGGGATTGTATGTACGTTGCTGGCTCCTCTCAATTGTACACTGTGTGTCAATGGACGTGCAAGAATCGTGGCACCCTGTGGGGTTAAGACGGAAGGAAAGGACTGGGAAAAGTCATCCCTTAGTTATGAGACAAATGATTTTTAAACGTTGCCAAACAAAACGAACTTTTTTGACGTTTTTTAATGAAATAATTCACAAAATTTTACTGAGTTCAAGCTGGTCTTGATCACCAAGTGTGCATAGTTAACACGTTGTTTTATTTTATACTTCCACTTTCCTCGTATTCGTCGCTCGGATTTTGGCATGTATAGTACATTCAGAGCAATGTTTGATGGGTACAAGATTGGTGAAAGTCTTACAGAGTCAGGTTTTGGTTAGAGGAAGGAGGAGTGTCTGTACTTTTCAAGATAAGTCGAACTCGCACAAAATGCATTAGCCATGGATTGCTAAAATCGGGAATCAATTTTACCCAGAAATGGAAACAAATCTACCCACCCATCTCTTGGAAATCTGCTTTTCATTTTGAAATGTATTTTGCGTTTGCTTTTTCCTTATGATCACTTCCAAGGATTATTAGTTACCAAAATTCAGTTCAGTAAACAAATGCCTAAACATAGAAGCGCCAAACTTCATCCAACAATTCTCACATCACCCACCCTAGTCAGGTTGATTTTAATTTCTTGTGTGAGCGTCTTTTTATTAATAAAGTTAACTTACACCTACAAGCTTTTTCGTCTCAGATTGATTGGTAAAAGCTTGAGAGAGTGTTTTAACCAAATCGTTTTGCCCGTTCAAGAGACCGTGAATTGGCTCTAAAACGGGAAAAGAGAGCCACAATGTCGCGAATGGTTTTATTTGTGCAGGTGATCAATTGAGAGAGCGACGCGATTTTTTTTACTAATAACCCCGCCGAATTACTCTAAACACTTTGTTCCCTTATTAAAAGTTTCAGCCAAAATGCAGGTGCTAACATGAGGGAGGGAGCTTGTTTGCCGTTTTTTCTGTTTTTTTTTTCTGCGCAAAGAAATAATTAACTATTGCGCAACTAAGTCTTGTAATCTCCTTTCCAACCATCGTTGGGGATTGTATGTACGTTGCTGGCTCACCACACAGATCTCCTCCATCAATATAGAAAAAGTACTGCATTCCTTAAGTCTCAAAATCAGAATTGTGAAAGTTTGGAAAATGTTCTCTGGATATTGCATACCGTTCTAGCCTGATTCGCTCTTTGTTGACGTACGTGTATACTTGGAGAGCATTGAATTCTTTGTTTGCTATAGATGTTGACCTCTACTACACTACTGATGAGGCTATTTTAACTTTTAGCGTAGTCGATGAAAGTTTTGAATTTTAAGTTTTGCTTCATGTAGAGTGTCAAAGTGGATTTCCTTCAGACGTTAGCTTACCTTTCTCTCCTAAAGCGCCTGTTCTCTTCTCTGCGAATTAGTTTTGAGAACTTGGTGGTAAAGATGATGTCCTATTGTTGACAGTTTGGTCTATTTTCATCGCCAGCTTTTTTACTAATGCGTAGATGCTTCTAGGATTAGTTGCATGTAAATCAACACAGGGAGTTGAATTCTTTAAGATAAAGGGAATGCGTAATACTGAATTTTCGACTGGTCTTTACCGTTGAAATCCGAGAAGAGATTCCATTGTGAACCTCGCGAAACAGCAAATGAGATTTTTAACGTGAAACAAGTTATAGGGCAATGATATTTGCCAAAGGAAGATCTAACATCCAGTGATGGCCGAAGTTGGTAGTTATCTTACTCGTCTGTTTTACTGTGAACTGAGCAAAGCATTTTACATTTCTGTGTGGAAATGTTACGTCGTCCATTATGTGCAGATGTTGACCAACTCCTACACCCTTCATCAGTAGCACAAATGAGACTTAGGACGAAAGGACTAGTAGTAAGCGTTTCCACTTAAACAGCTCCCATAATATTGAAGCAATGTGATTATTACCACAGTGTGCGAGTTTTCGCAACATTAACACATTTTCGTTCCACTCTGATTGACCCATTGTCTTTGATCGGCGCTGGTGATTGTTGAATGACGCATAGCCTTAAAAATCTTCAGTTTAGAGACGGTCTAATAACTACACTACATCATAGCTTTGGATTTTGAACGCTTCATTAAGAAACACTTGAACCTGAAAGTCGGATCAGCTGTAGCAAGGATACATTCTTATTCTTTTGGTATAGCTGCGAATTAAACAGTTCATACTTTTTACCTTTTTCTGCTGAATGCCTGCTGTTTACTCATCTTTCGCTGATTCAGCCTTGACAAGAGTAAAAATCGAGTAAAAGGAACACGAGCAGTCATTAGAATGTGTGAAATTGTTTACTTGGGTCACCTGCTACTGGTGTTTAGTCAAACATCATGACAGATCTCCGGGCAGGGAGCGATTAAGGAAACTTTTTTTGCAAGGGATTTTGCACTTGTTTATTATCGTGTTTGTTGATCTCGTACCTTCATCAGCTGTCATTTTGTCAACGAGATCACTTAAGATATAAACAGCTTATTAAGTAGCATTGTTGCCCAAGAGATACAAAAGGAGATTGACATTAGTAATTTAATTAATCTCACTGCTTTTTGGTAATTCGTAGCTTATAACATAATTAATACTCTCAGGTACTCCATTTAAGGCTCTTGGCTTATTTTAAAAGTAACGTTGTAATGAAAATAATTTTTATTTTCTGGTAATGTAAAGCTCAAATCAGATGGGTATCCATTTGAAATCCGCATCATGGCTCACTAAGCTCTGAAACACCAGCGATATCACTCATCGTTTATGCATTTCAACATTTTGAAAGCCATTGACACAGCACCAGCAACTTTAAAACCAAAATAAACTTTTGAAGAAGCATCAAAACGAACAAAAAGTGTAATGAACAGACAAAAATGCTCGTATATCATGGTTGTTAGGTCTTTAAAAGAACATATTCACTCGTGTGTACTCGGGTCAACCCTAGCTGCGTTCGAAGTTTAAGTTAGTTTGACTGACCCTCTTATTTTAAAACAATCAGGCACCAGTCGGATATTTGCTTTAAAGTTTTGGTAACACTGGTTTTGACACTGGTCAATAACGCTGTTATATTACCGGTATATTTTTATAAGAAGCAAGAACCGAGGCAAGATTCCTATGAAGCGAAGCGTGAACACAATGGCTGCCACGATCCCCGCATTGGACAATAGAGTTACCATGAATTATTTACCGGTGCCTCTCATAAAACTCCTTGACGAACAATAGCGGCCGCATATAGCGGAAACGTTTCGACTGTCAAGGTGAGGGGAAGTTTTAAGTGTTTGATAGCCTACCTTTTGTGGTATTGACCCATTAGAGATAACTTTTGGTGTTGACTATTCAGGCAAAATATCCAAAGTATAATGCTGGCATTTGTTCTCTTTCAGGCTTAGCCATGGATTATAGGCTGGTCTTTTGTTCCCTTTTATTTGTCATCGTCTCAGTGTCTGCCAAGGCAACACGTCGAGGAAGTAAGTTGGAACTCTTAACCTATGGGAATAAATAATTGAGCTATTAGGGCATACTTATCTCCTAATAGCAGTTTTAAAGAAAAGTTTCGTTTACCAGGGAACATTTGACGTTCATAGGAAGCAACCCTTGATCAAACAATTGTTTTGATAGGATGGAAAAATCTTTTTTTTTAGAAAATTGAGTGGCAACTTTCGTGATGACTTTGATCATGATTGAAGGCCACGAAAGGACATAGTTTGAAGATTAGTTTATTTCTTTCGAATTTTAAGTCAATCTCCGTTGTAAAGAAATTAATTTGAGAGTAAAAAGTAAAGATACGTACTTGTAAGCTTCTCTTGGTCAAGAAGTAATTTTATCAGATTGCAAAATTCTAAAAGAACAATACTTGTCACTCTCCATGACTCACAGTGTCAAGAAAGAAAGCAACTAGAATAATTATTACGAATATGTTCATTCAGCTGGCCTCAAATTTCAGGTAGCATTTCTTGAAACAACAATTAAAATTCATGACTTGAACTTTTTGATGGTAGGAATAACAATTGATGATATGTTGGGAAACTACATTTTTATTTGATATGTGTTGAAATTTGACCGTCAAAATTTAAAGCTTTTTTTTAGGCTTTTACATTTCATAATGATTTTCCAAATTCGAGGTGTCTTCAGTTTATTTTGATCTCCGTACGTAATGAAATATTTATTGCAAAAAGCTGATCCGAAAATCTTAAAGTCCAATCCATCCTGTTGTTCCGGTGTTTAAATTTTGGTTTTAACTAAGCTGCCAATTAAAAAGAACGAACAGAATCTCTCTTCTTCCACAATTTTATCGTATTTTTTTCGGTTCGCCTTGATGCTAGTTTAATTTTCAAAAAAGTCTTGTACATATTTATTTCCTTGTCAAAATGCTCTTTAGAAATATATTGCTCGGAATAAAAATCTAGTCCAATAATTTTTTTTTATCTTAGAGTTCATCAAGCTAGAAATCAAACAATTTTTCTATTTCGCAGTTCTATCAAAATAAACCTGTTTCGAGTTATTAACAATTCATGCTGTGTTGAGAAGTGCTCTCCCATCCGTTACGCGGGTAGCTCCATATTCCACATCGAAGCTAAGACCTCCTTTTTTTTTCATGAATCTATATCTTTCCTTTGAGACAAAAATTGACATAGGAAGGAAAAAATGAGTCATGTTTCTTTGACCAGCTCAGAATTTTGCGGTATAATTTTTAAGATGGTTGTGAATTTATCTTCCGTAACCAGTATCACTGCCGTATCTCATCGCAGGGGTTCTCACTACAACATCCTGTTCCAGTTGATTTTTTAAATATCTCTTGGCACCTGTTATTCTGACAAGTATCAAAATTCCTTGGATCTTAAGTCCCATTAGAGTGCAGGGAAACTTTATGGCCCTACGGCCCTGGCAAATTTTAATTCTTATCACTTTTCATTCGAACACCAGTTTAACTAAATTAAGTCATCGATTGTGATATAGTCTGTTATCATAGAAATTATAATTTCCTGCGAGGTACCCTTTCATGTATCTACGGATTTCTAATTTTTGAAAGTTCACAAAGGTAAAAGCTTCGTGCCCTCCGAGATAACTATAGAACTTATCATTAATCTTACTGAACCACTGAGATCTTGATGAGAATTCGTAACAGCTTATCATCTGCTCTTTTCACTCGTAGGTATATTCAAAAGAAGTCCTAACCCATGTCCTCCTGGTTGTCCGGGATCATGCGCCCCGTCATGCACTGCGGTATGTTGTGCACCTCCACCCCCACCCCCACTTCCACCTCTTCCACCACCACCACCTCCCCCACCACCACCACCACCCGGTCCCCCTGGCCCTGATGGTCCAATGGGAATGGCAGGACCACCTGGCCCCGATGGCCCTAAAGGACCCCCAGGACCTCCAGGACTTCCAGGACCACCTGGTCTCCCAGGTCTTCCAGGTGCCCCAGCTGGTCCTCCAGGACGTGACGGCCCCATGGGACCTCCAGGGCCTTCTGGACATCAAGTACGTTTGCCGCCGTGTGATATTACTTGATATGTGTCTATGTGTGGTGCTGCACGATACGTTGTGACCGTGGTCAAAAACGTTTTACATTATGGAACCTAAAAGACCCCTCTGAAGCCCTAGAAATAGCTTTTTAAAACAACTTTCTTTCATTCAACTGTTGTTTCTCTGTTCAGCCATAGATTTAACATAGTGGCAAACATTGCAGTTTTCCCTTCCAATGACGCATTTTGTCGCGTATGGTCCTCTTCCAGAAACACTTGATGATAGTAACGAGCTTGTGTCGATCGCTCACTTTATGTGTTTTCTCTTCTACAGGGACCACCCGGTGATCTGGGCCCCATGGGACCTCCAGGAGCCCCAGGCCTGCCCGGACCTCCAGCTCCACCTGGTGGTATGCCTCCTTGTCCACCTGTCTGCGTCCATACTTGTATCAAGGCTTGTGCCCCGCAATGTTGCCACGGCCGAAAGAAGAGATCTCACCTCCTGGAATAGAAACAACAAAAGCGGCAATGACAGCAGCTATTTTTATACTTCTGGTTCGACGAGTGATTCGAGTTTTTATCACACCGCTGAGCGAATAATAATTAGTGATAGTCCTTAATTGCTGTCTTTCCCCTGTAGAGATTAGATGATTACTTTCATGTTTGTTTTGTGTTATATATTTATAGTAAAATCTCAGCTCGCTTAGTTTTTGTTGTTTTCCTTTTGACATAAAAAAAAGATGTAGCTTTTGGGTGGAAAGGAGTGACGTAATTTTCAACGGTTCATGTTTCTTCGATGGAACTTGATGTTACTGAGACTGCAAGTCTGATAAAGTAGGCGTGTCGAGTGAAGGATTTATTTGAAATGTGTAATAAAATTATCTCTCTTAGTATATTCTTGGTTTCTTTCTTTGGATTTTCCCTTATTAGCTTTCCTTCGAGCAATTAAATATTTTATGTGGCCCCCCCCAAAAAAATTGAATAGTATTATCTTAATCCTTTTTACCGACAACAATTAAAACTATATCTTTGCTTAACCACACAAATTGAAATAATATTGTCTTTCATCCTGTTGGCCCACAAATGTCAAGTTATTTTAGAATCGTCTATAGAGATGTGAAGAACATTCTTCCAGCGCAAAGATCTTATTCTATTTTTCTGGCCCATTCAAGAAATTAAGAAGAGCAATCTTCTAATTACTTTTTTTTGCGTAACCAAGTCTTCTATTTGAATCATATTTTCCTCACTTTTTTTTTTAGTGTGAAAGTCGCGATACTTTCTTCATAAAAACAAGGAAAGTGTGTCTTATAGATGGATTGTTCGGCCGTGGCATCCAAGCTCCGAGAAATCAGTCTATAGAAGAGCTTTAGATAGTCAACATTTTTATCTATGGTTTATGCACAATGGAGTGCAACAAATATCAGCTGTTCAATAGCCTTGTGGTTGCGTTATGAATCGTTTGTTGTCATTGTATATGGAATTTTCTCCATAATTCTCTCCACGATTTTCAACATTTAACTGAACGTCATTATGCAAGTGTTAGCAGTTTAAGGCGATGTTTTAAATTGGCATACAGTGAAGTTTTGTTCGACTTGTTTTTTTAATTTTAATTTTGTTTATTTCTAATCGCAGCTGACAGATAACATCAGATGATGAAAGGAATTTAAGATGAGGTTAGAAACCAGCCTGAGCCAACCGTATGATTTCTACATTTCGTTTCCACTACGTCAACGTCTGTTGCACACAGTCCATAAACAACTAATGTTGGCTCTGCTCCGGGCGAGCACTTAGAGTAATTTTGTGTACACTCATAATGTTTTAGTTGGGCTTCAACCGTGAGTATCAAATCGCCACTCGACATTCTTGGGTCAAATACGATATATTTCTCATATTATTTGTAAGAAATCAAGAACTTGCTTTACGTGCGGTCATTATCATCTTACCGGCAATTATCATGCGTCGGTCTCTGCAACCTTGACTTGTCACTCGTTAAACTAATAACCTCACATATTTCACGGAAAGGAAAACTGAATGATAACAAGCTTAGTATAAATTTTTTTCCGTTGCTTAATTTTCCAGGTTAGCAGATTTTCTAAGTTTGCGTTTTTACACGAACAGCATACAAACTTTCATCAGTGAGAGTTTGGGGCGCGCTGAAATTCTGAGAAGTTGACATTGAGGCGCAGACGAGATGGAACGATCTTTGTGAGTTTCTTATATAAACGTTTTTTTTTTTGAAATTTGATGTGCACACGTATTACATGAACTACCCGCAATGTATTGAAGAGGATTGTTTTTGTACATTTTACGAACATTGTCGTAATCAAGATGTTAAATTGTATATCCTTTGTATTTCTCCCAAACTTGAACTTCTGTTTGGTCTACCTTCTGCTATAAACCTTTCGTTTCACTTTTTGTAACTTTCATACTGCCTGCGTTGTTCACAAAACTGTTGCCTAGCATATTAAGAATTTCGAGATGTTATTTCCGTAACCTTGAAGGTGAGGCGCCAGTAATCTTATTTGAACCGGTTGTTTACTAATCGGGTGCCCTCAAGTAGCACTCACAGTAGTTAATCATTCTTGGGTCGTACAAAGTTCAGAGATTAACTGATATAAGAAGCAAGACCCCCTATTACAAATTAATTGCATCAGCTTTTTGTGGAACTTTGGACTTTTTTTTTTTTTTTTTTTTTAACAAGGGATACAACTGATTAGTTGTCGGCTTGAGGTTTGTATCGGCTTTGTTGATGCAATTAACCAAGCTTATTCCCTCAACAGCATGCCCATAATCCCACAAACCTTTTTTTCCTCGACCTGAAACCTCCCAGTGAGGTCTCATCAAAGTATTATCAGTTTCTCTTCGAAAATTTCCAATCGATTGCATAATGAATGTGTGAAACACTCTCCTTGTAAAACTCTTTAACATGTTACAAATTCTCTATGGTCTTGATGTGCGAGAGCAACCGGCTTGTGTTTATGCCGATGAACTAAATGCTAACCAGATTAACTTGACTTCCTAGTGCCAGTTGAGGGAAGTTGTCATCTATATTAGGTGATAAACAAAGGAGACCATCTGTAAGGTCTGATTTTCTTTCGCAATGTGGTGGAGCACGGACCAGTCTAGACCACATGATTTTCTTTAAAGAGCAAACTATACCCCTTGGGGTGGTGTTGAACTTAACTGATTAAAATTCTCGAAAAACTTTCCTTGAACTGGACCATTTTTCTAAAATAAGTAGTTTTTAGATGCGTCTCTGTTTTAACCACCTTAAAGCGAAAATAATGTCTTTGTGACTCAACAGAAATGAACATACGGTAAGAACACCATTGCTGTCATGCTGGTGGTTATATTTTTAACGTAATTACATCCTGCCTCTATTATTACTTATTTCACTTCATTTTATTTCATGCAACGTCCTGCTCTGTGCACACGTAGGGATCGTTTATCGATTTGGAACAATAATTTTACTCGAGGGTCATAACTATGAGATGCAAGAAAAGTATTTTTATCTAAAGCAATGGTGTATCTGATTTGAAATGAAAATTTCGTAAAATTTTACTTGAAAATAACCTTGGCCCATTTTTGGTTAAGATAAGTAGTAAAAGTGTTTGGTCAGAGGATACTTCTAAGACATGCAGGATTGTTTACCATCACTAGCATTTTTTGCTACTTTAATTTCAAAACGTTCCTCCGATTATCTAGGAAAATCTGGGAATTGTAGTACATGTTGACTGATTTTTCAGGAGACCTAGTACACAGGCATGAAATAAAATTGCCATCTCTGCAGCTACTCATTTGATTTTCCTTAGAACAGACGTCCTAAGAAGGCCAAACTAACAAATTATTTTCTCATTGAAAGCAGCACTCTGGAGAAAATTAGGTCCTTAGATGGAAGAAGTCAAAATCTAATTTTACAGAAAATATATGTGTTTGGAGTCTATTATTTGTTTTGTAAGGTGTAAGTGCAAATAAACGATGTCCTATGTGCATCGTGTCTAGAGGAAGAAATTCTCTTTGACCAGAATTAGAGAACCACCTATGGTCTTGCTATGTTATCGAGAAACGATGTGCACTATATAATTCTCAAATGAAAAATCAGGCAAACTTTGAAGCTCCATAGTTTATCGAAACTCCAAGATAAAAACCTTCGTGTAAAATATGCAATCATGTGAATTTCCTTAAGAGAGTGGAAATTTTTGCCTCCAGGTTATGATACTTTTGTGTAATATTGCTCGTCATAGATGAATCATTACCTAACACGTTTTCGTTTTCTCCAAGCTCATTGGAATTTTGAACTATTTTCTCGCAGGCGTATGGTAAATTTTTGCAGCAGATCTCAGGATATGATATAGCTGAATCCAATGTCACAGTCATATAAACACAAACATTTTGCACTCATTGCTCCTCCCGGAGCAACTAAATTGCTCCCCAAAAAGGATTGGAATGAAAAAACGAAGAACTGGATTTAGAGTTGATTTTCTATTCAACCAAACACATCTTGTCCTTCCCTATGGCCAAATGGTTCTCATAATTTCTGTCTCTGTTATGGCTCCCAATGCTTGGTGAGAGGATAATTTGAAGATGTACTTAATTTACCTATCTTTCATAAAATTGATTTATCAATATTAGACAAAACACAATAATAGTATCAGGATTCTTTTTCTTTGGAGATGTGAAATCATTGTTGTCGTTTAAGTATGTCCTCTGACAATACTTGTCACCATCACATCTTGGTGCATGCAGGTTCGGCTGCAGACTCTGTTTGGTAATTTTACTTGACACTTGCTGTTTGTTAAAACTTTTGAAGGCCTCTATCTGCTTATTATTTCATGAAAGGTTCCTCAATTTAGATCTGTGGTGTAGTGAAGCCTCTCCAGACCTCGAAGAGCCAGCAAACAAATGATAAACGATGATGGATGGTTCGAAAGGCTATCCGCACCACTGATTCATTTCGTTTCAGTGGACACCTCTTCCAAGCAGTTTGCCTTAAGGGAAAGGCTTAAAAATGTTATATCTATAACGTTTTGAAGCAGTCTTCTGTTCACACATCTTTAGCTGACTCACAACATGGCATGTTATTTTACGTTTCGTTCAGTGTATTCGGATCGTAAAGGTAGTTATAAAGTTAGGAAAGAAAATCCGTGCCAAATGGTCTTGCCTTTACATTTTGAGTGGTATTTTTGTTTGCTTTGGTTGGCATTGTGAACAGTTGTCTCTCTAATTATCTTGTTAAGCTAGTTGTCTGTTAAAAATGGTACCCTTTTGTCTCTTAATATCAAACCGATTTCCAAAGGACTTTGCCCTCTGGCACCACAACTTAAGTTCTAGTTCTTTTCTACCTTAAACCCCAGATTGTTACTCTCTTTCGATTTATTTCAATGACTACTCTTAATACGTGCTAGATGTAAAGTGGTCGGAAATGTTCTTTTTTGTTGACAAATTCAAAGTTTTTCTGGCAACTCCCTGTTGCCTTTATTGATGTAGAATTATCAAAGCTCCCCTTTATCT